AGCGCGGGCGCCTGCGCGGGCGGCCCCTGCCCACCTTGCACCCGCCGTGCGCCAGCCACCGAACACCGGCCCGGGCACCGGGAGTCCCAGAGGCTCCTGGAGGCAGCTCGGCCTCACCCGCGTGCAGGCAGGCACAAGGGAGAACTAGCAACACGTGGTGGGCCTGTGTTCCACCGCCACTACCACAAGCTGGAGGGGGGAAGGAGGAGGAGGACGAGGAGGAGGAGGACGAGGAGGAGGAGGAGGAGCAGGAGGAGGACGAGGCGGAGCAGGAGGTGGAGGAGGAGGAGGAGGAGGAGGAGGAGGAGGAGTGGGACGCCCCCCTCCCCCTCCAACTTGTGGTTGTGGTAGAAGACAGGCCTATCAAAAAGAGAGAGAGAGAGAGGACGAGAGCTCCGATCGCTGACACAGTGGAGCAGCGCGGACGACGGGCTGCTTCTCCTCCTCCTCCTCCTCCTCCTCCTCCTCCTCCTCCTCGATCCTCCTCCTCCTCCTCCTCGTCCTCCTCATCTCCCCTGAACGCCTCTTGGGCCCTTCCTCGCACGCTCCCTAGGGTAGGCTGCGCGGATCTCATCGTGCTCTCCTCCTCTTCATACTCTCTCTATCCGATCTCTCGCCCTCCTCACTCTCCTTTTGTAGTTCTCCTCCTGCTGTGGCGGCGCGCACAAGGGGGTGTCGCAAGGATGACGGCCTTTGGGATATACACTGGGGCGGTCTCCATCCTCGACATGGGTGCGTCCGAATAGCACCTGGGGGGTAGTCCCTCAAACCCTCTTACATTCTGAGTGGCCTGACTTTTGGGGTTTTGGGGAGGCGAGCTCCCCCCATCCCTCTACCTCCAGAAAGACGCAAAAACATAAACGTTCGGAAGTCCGCGTGGATTTCTCGGATCGGCGCTGGAAGCCCTCCTTCGCTCGCAGGGCGAGCCAGGAGCGGCGCCGCAGCGGAGGCGCCGCCATTGCCGGGGGGGCGCAGCGCCGATCCAAGTCATCCGCGCGGAGCTCTGAAAACCTACGTTCGTGCTGTTCTGCTTGTCCTTCCTCTCCGGCTACACGCACGGGTGGCCCTAGCCAAGAGTGACCTCTGGTGCGCGGCTCAACGGGGGGACGCGGGGTGGCAAAACCTGTGGGGGCGCAAGCCGCTGCCACCGCCTCGCGTCCGGCGACCAGGGGACCCCACTGGGCCCCTTCCAAGGTCACTCCGGCGAAAGGCCACTCTTACGTCTGCTCGATCCCTTCTCCCTAGAGGCCTCCTAGATGGGGTCGAGTGTATGGGGTCGGAGGATCGCGCAGCATTTCCAATGCATCGGCGATGCATTGGCGATGCGCTCAGCCACGTCGGCGATGCATCGGCACCGTCGGCGTGGAGAATTCTGGGTTACACATCGAGTCGCATCGCCCACGCATCGGCAATGCGGCGCGATCCTCCGACCCCATCTGCTCCGACCCCGATCCACCTGCCCAGGCGGCCGGCTCTGCCGGTTCTCCGGGCGGCCGTCGCCTTGTAGGTCGGCAGCCGGAAGTTCATGAAGGCGGCCTCGCCCGCGCTCGAGTCGCTCGAGGCCGCTCGGGGACGGAGGGCGCGGGGGCGCACGCGCCTCCAGGGAGAGGGGTGGGGTAGTCCGCAGAAGGAGGGACGGGACGAGAGAGGCTTGGAATCTCGACTAGAATCGAGGAGGCGCAGGACACGAGCTTGGGCGATTGGGTTAGTTTGGCGGGGCCGTCACAAATGTGACGAGAACAAGTCTGACACTTGACGCGAGCCTGGCTGCAGACATCTCACGAAAGGTCAGCCGTCAAAGTCCATGACGGGGCCGTCAAAAAGAGTCGGCCAACTCGGGTTCCTCCAAGATCGAATCCTACAGCGGCCACATCCAAAAAGAACCTAACCTGCCTGCAGGTGCCCCACGAGAAGGTCTGATCCCCCGATGGCCCCTGGTACCCACAGAAGCACTTGAGCACCTGAGGGAGCTCAAAGACCGACGACGAATGCGCTCTCAGATGTTACATCACAAGGTTTCTGATCGTACGTGCCTGATGTACGTTTGGTCGGGCGTCCCCACCCACCCACCCCGCGCACCCTGGCGGCCGCGCCAAAACCGCCCGCCGGGCAAAATGCGCGGCCCTGAGCCGAAAGGAGGCGCCCAGAGCGGCGCGGAGCCCTCGCTTGACCTCCCCCCTGGGCTCCCGCTGCTCCTCGACCTCCCCGGACCTGCTGGTACCTGGGATCTTCTTGGCGACAAGAGGAAGCCAGGACGAGGCCAACATCGGGCGAGGATACATCGGGAATCTCGGAGATCTGGCGGCTCTGGAGGATGCCTCGGGCGCCGCGGCCTCCCGGCGAGCACGAAGACGAGGCCCCACCAGCTCAGCCGCCGGGTGGGGATCTCCCTGTTTTGAGCAGGGACCGGCCGTCCCGGCATTCCTGTAGTCCTACCACGACATGCTCCTAGAACCCCAACAATGTTCTCAGAACAAAAGCAGTGTTCTTAGAACATAAGCCCGATGTGATAAAAGACAGGCTCCGCCAAAACTGTTCAACTTGCCGTCGCTCGGACGTCCATTTCCCGTGCATGTTTCGGTTTCGTGCGAAACTTTGTTTTGCTCGATGGTCCAGGATGGTCCTCGTGGGTTCTCGCCGAAAAAACGCACATGTCCGAGCGATGCCAAGTCTAAGAACATTCCGTGCAGACCACAAAAGGCTCTTAGACTCCTGTTTGGCAGGGCTATAGGCCAGCCAGGCCGCCTCGCCACCGCTTGACTGCTGGGGGGCCCTACGCTGGACCCCCCGCCTCCCTGGCGCGCGGAGCGCGCCAGGGGCGGCGCTGGAGGCGCCACGTGGGGGCCCAGCGCAGATCCAAGAAATCCGCGCGAAGCGCCAAAGGTCTATGTTTCCCAGCGCATCCCTGTGCGCCGAGGCCTGGCCGCACAGCGCGGAGACGACTCGGACACCCCCCCGTGCTCCCTCCGGGCCTCGGGCCGAGCAGCGGGCGCCCGCGGGCGCCCCCCCTGCGGGCCCCCCCTCGCCGCGCCCTCCCTCCCCGCTGGCCCTGCAGGGCGTGCGGCCGGGCCGCCGACCGCTGCTCGGGCCCTGCGCCCCCCCCCTGGCCATCGCTCGGCCGTCCATTCCCTGTGCTTTCTTCGGTTTCGGGCGTGGTTTTTTTTTTCCCCCAAATGATCAAGAATGCTCCTCGATGGTCCTCGCCGAAGGAAACATGCACACGTCCGAGCGATGCCGAGCCCCTGCTCTCTGCCACTGCGGGGGGGGGCTCCTCGCCGCACGCCCTGGCCCAGGCCGGGGCCGCGAGGCCCCCTTGGCGGGGTCTCGAGCTTCGGCGGTGGACAAACCTCCCTTTAGTAAACTTCCCCTTAGCGCAAACGGCCTGGGACCGAAACCGACGGAAACGGACCCGCAAAAATGACGGCCGCGACGCCCTCTCGCGAACCGAAAACGGCCAATTCCTTAATCGACGTGTCAGGGTAGGAGGTCTGTCCACCCCCGAGAACTGCCAGGGGCACGGCCTGCGTGGCGTGGGCGGGGCGCCGTAGCCTGCGCTTTGTGCGGCCCGGCCCTCCGCGGGGCGGAGATGCAGGACGGCGGCGGACCTGGGGCACCCCTCGCCATCTCCAAGGCCGCGCGAACGGCGTGCTTGGTTCACGGTGCGGTTGGGGATCTGGTTTTTGTGACACCGAGCTCACGAAGAACAACATGCAGGAAATCACGAAAGGCCGCTTCCTACCTCTCATAGATGCACATGTACGGAACGACAACGACACAGCGAGTTGTAGGAAAGCACGAATCGCGGGTTCCTACAATTGGCATGGCCACGAACCATGCACTCCTACAACTGATTATCTCACATCGCCGTCCGCTGAAACACCGTTAGCGCGTCTACGGCACCTGGGCCTGCTGGGCAGACACGTCCTGGCCTGGCACCCCACTGTGGCTGCGCCGGGAGCGCGCCGGGAGGGTCGGGGCCGAAGCACCGCCTGCCCCCCAAGCCCGCCCTCGGGCGGTGGGCAGCGCAGGCCCCTTGGGCGGAGGAGGGGCAGGCCGAGGAGGCCGGGGTGAGGACGGGAAGGGGCAGGGGGCGGCCCGGTCCTTGCGTCTGCCATCGACCTCTGGGCCAGGGAGGGGCTGCCGAGGTCGGGGACGCGAGGCAAGCAGCGAAGCCCCTTTGGGGCGCCAGCAGCGCCTGGGTGCTCGAGGAAGGCCAAGGGAACAATCTCGCGGGACGACCTCCGAGGAGCAGCGGGCCGAATTCCGAGCCCGGAGAGCAGCCCTGGCTTCAGCGCCTCGACTGCGTGCGCCGGCGCGGCGCCGGGCACGAGAGACCTTCGGAGCATGGCCCGCCGACCCGCTGCACGCGATGCGCAACGGTGGCCCGCTCGAGGAAGGCCAAGGGAACAATCTCACGGGACGGCCCGATGAGCAGCGCGCCTAATTCCGAGCCCGGAGGGCAGTCCCCTCGCTTCCGCGCCTCGACGGCGTGCGCCGGCGCGGCGCCGGGCACGAGGAGACCTTCGGAGCGTGGCCTGCCGACCACCCGTTGCACGCAATGCGCAGTGGTGGCCCGCGTCCCCCGCAGGCCGCGCGCCAGAGCAAAAAAGCTGGCGAAGGGTGTCCTCATCGCCCTCCTCCTCCTCCTCCTCCTCCTGCTCCTCCTCCTCCTTCCTCCTCCTCCTTCTCTTCCCTCCTCCTCCTCCTCCTCCTCCTCCTCCTCCTCCGCCCCCCGCAAGCCGCGCGCCGGAGCAAAAAAGCTGGCGAAGGGAGTCCTCGTCGTCGTCCTCCTCCTCCTCCTGCTGTAGCGCGTCCTCTCTCCGCGAGAACGAGGAGGAGACGAGGGGGAAGAGGAGCGATGAGGAGGGGGAGGAGGAGGAGGAGGAGGAGGAGGAGGAGGAGGAGGAGGACAGGGAGAGGAGAGGAGGAGGAGGGAGAGGAGGAGGAGGGAGGAGGAGGAGGAGGAGGAGGCGAGGGGGAAGACGAGGAGGAGGAGGAGGAGGAGGAGGAGGAGGAGGAGGAGGAGCATGTCTCGTGTGCAGGCCCTCTTTAGCCTTTGGGGCACAAGCCTTGGGCCTCCGCCTGCCGCTCGGGGCGCTCCGGGCACTCCCGCAGCGCTCTCGGCGAGGCGCGTCTGCTGGAGCGCACCCCGAGGCAGGGCAAACATCGTGGATCCGACGAACGCACGACCAAGCACGCGTGCGAATTGACAGCCCGGCGGCAGCGCTCCCTGGCGGCGGTCTCCTGAAAGCGTCAACCTGCATGGCTACCCAGGGGAAGCAGACGGTCCACCCGTCAATCAGAGCCATCACGCTGGGGCCACCTCCGCTGGCCTGAGGGTGCTCTCTTGTCTCACGCTCCTGGACACCGTGCGAACAGACACTGGTGCAGATAAAGGGGGCCTGAGAGAAGCGAGGAGGACGCCGTCGACGAGCGAGGGAAAGTACACAGCAGCGGAGCCCTCCGGCCTGGACAGTTCTAGAATATTGAGGAGCACCACGGGGGCCGCAGACCGGCACCATGCGGTGCGAAGGACCAGCCCTGGCCCAGCTCTCACACGGCAGCCGTGAGCTTTCCCATCTCGCCGATCATCCTGTTGATCAGACCCTCGCCGTCGCCGTTGCCGTGGGCGAAGCAGCACGGCTGCCCGAGGATCTTGTTGCGGATCACGGGCTGCCCCTCCTCGTTCCTCGCTATCTCGATGGGCGCCTGGCTGTCTGGCCTCCCCCAGGCCATCTGGTGGATGCTCAGCACCAAGCTCCCAGTGTAGTCCAGGGTGATCTTGTCCGGATTCGAGAGCATCCACCACTGCGCCCGCAGCTGGTCGAGCTCCCCCTTCTTACCGCCGTTGTTGTAGACCCATTCGAAGAGCGGCTTGAGGTCCCTCACTGGGCCCATGACGAAGCCCCAATTCGGGTACCTGTAGGCCCTGCTGGACTTCCCGTCGCACGGAGCAATCTTGTGGTCGCCACAGGGTGACCACGGCACGACCCAATCGTCTGATAGGTTCTCCACCTGAGGTGGAGAGGGAGAGTAGGCGGAGGGAGGGCCACGTCTCCAACCCATCCGAGCCTCAATGAAACGACTTGGAAACCTACGCCCTACACCGCGCAGCACCTCTCAACACCGCGCAGTGAATATGGCGCAGTGTTGAGCTGTGCTGCGCGGTGTTCAGAGGCTGTCAGGCCTACGCTGGATGGAATCGGGAAACCGCACCGAGCCGGAAACGGACCAGATCGCCATCGAATCGTCAAGAATCAAATCGACGTCGGACCGCCGCGCCTGTCTCCGGCCGACCCTAGGGCCGATGCTGGTAGACAAGCACGTTCCACTACTCGCAAGGCAACTGCTCGCAAATGGCCTGGATCCGCCGCCAGGGATTTACGATCCATGGCATAGACGAAGACACGTGCGTTTCACACGTTTGCATAATTCCCGAAGAGCTGCAATGTGTCACTGGGAGCGGGTACGCAGGGAGGCTGACAACGAGCAGGGGGGGCGGATGCCGCGCACCCCGACATCCTAGTTCCTGATTTTGCAATGCGGGGTCTCCGGAACGGCTACCAATAGCTGTCCGTCGTATTTGTTTTCTGTTGCTGCGCCACGTGAGCATGTCTGGGGAGGAGGATGGGGAGGAGAGGGAGGAGGAGGAGGAGGAGAAGGAGGAGGAGGAGAAGGGCAAGGGTCCAGCCATCTCGATTGCGGGCCCTGCCGCCTGCGAGTCGACGGCCGAGCGCCGCTGCTCCCAGAGGGCGCTCTCCCGGAAGCGCCACCCCATGTCCCAGGGGAAGCAGGCGGTTTCGGCGCTCATCACGAGCGTCATGTCAGGGCCGCCCCCCGAAGCCTTCAGGATCTGCCCGTACTTCTGCCGGATAAACGCCTCGTCGCACCCACCGAGGATCATGTCGCCGCCGTCGATCATGATCGCAATGGCCTCTGGGTCCTTCTGCACGGCGTCTTCGAGCCACTTGAGCATGAGGCCGTTTTTGGTGCGGTAAAATTTCCACGGCTCACCTGCGCCAACGTTCGTGACCATGCTGTCGCTGCTGTTCCCCGCGTTCCTGCCTGGGAGCTTCATCGGGTTGCCCGCGCGAGTCTCCACGGTGACGACGCTGATATTCCCGATGTGGCGGACTCCAGCCTTGTACCCGTCCAACCAGTCCTCCTCACTGATAATGCCTTCCCGCAGGAGATCCTCGTCCTTCTGACTGCTCTGCAGACAGAGCCCTTTCACGATGAGCGATGGGGCCAGCAGCCGCAACAACACCGACTTCGCCGACATTGCCGACGGACAAACAGTATCGGGAACCTGTATAGATTGTGTCTAGCAGGGTCGCCACGAATGGCTTGAGCCGAATGGGCCAGGGATACATCGACCTTAGAGCGAGGTCGCTTTCGCAAGCGATACTTCCTCCCTTGGCGACGACGCTATCGCTGTTCTGCTGTCCCTGGATCGCTCATCGTCGTATTCCTCCTCCTCATTCTCTGCCGCCTCCCCCTCCTCCTTCTCCTCCTCTCCCGCCTCCAGGGCTTATCCGCGTCGACATCAGTGGCCATTGTACTGGTACACTTCCCCGAACTCTTACACTGGAGCCCCATCTCGAGAGACAGAAACCAACACCCACACCCACCAAGCAGATTCGCATAATTTTTCGGAACGCCTGTGGATGTAACCGACGCGTTCCCACGGCGAATCCGCCACCGTCCCCCCTGGCACGTTGAGGCGTGTAAGAATGCTAAGGTCTGTTCGGTAGGGTTTTTTTGAAATCTAAGAAGGGACCGCATCTCCCTCTAACAGCAGACTTTTGCGTGCATCGCAGACCCTTTACGAAGCCACTTCCCTCGTGCCCGCTCGAGGAACGTGCCCTTCCAGCATGGCAGCTCATGCCTCGACCCCCCTTCCACGCGTGCCCGCTCACGGATGGTGCACTTCACGCTCGGCAGCTGGCGCCCGAAACCCACCTTCCACGCGTGCCCGCTCGAGGATGGTGCACTTCCCGCATGGCAGCTAATGCCTGAACGCCCACTCGACGATTCTGGCTGCTAACTGCAAGACCTACGAATCCCACGCGTGCCCGCCCGAGGGCCGTGCACTTCCCGCGTTCCCAGGCGCTTCTCCCGAGCACTCCAGGGCCTCCCACGCCACGACGCCCTGTTAAAAAATGTGATGGATCTGCGTCCCGAACTTCCAAGACGGCCCGTGCCGGCAACCAGGGGCACAAAGATTGTCCAAGCTGCCTCGGAGACGACCCAAGACGGCCCCAAGGCGGCCCAACATTGATTCAAGACTGCCCGAGATGCCGCCACAAGAGGACCTGCCAAGAGGGCCTGAAGACGCCACAATCATTGATTATCCATGGGTGCTTCGATGATGTTGGCATTCTCGCATTCTCGCCTTTTCGGGCTGCCATTAGCTCAAGACGGCCCAAAAGGACTCTATGATGGCCCGAGAGGCATCCAACACGGCCTCGTCCAAGAGGGCTTCCTGCGAAACTGCCTCAGGAAGGCCCAAAAGGGCCCCACAACGGCCCCCAGACACCCACCATACGGCCAAGAGCGCAACAAGACGGCCAAAGAAAGCCCCAAGCCACCGCAAACGAACTCCATGACGGCCCGACAGGCCCAAGGGGTTCCTAAAGTTGCCTCCCAGCAGCAGCAGCATCAGCACCATGATCCTCCTCCTCCTCCTCCTCCTCCTCATCATCATCACCATCATCATCATCATCACCACCATCAACACCATCAACAACAACAATATCCTCCTCATCATCATATTCATTATCGGCATCATCACCATCATCTTCATCATCATCACTCTCACCATCACCATCACCATCACCATAATTTCCATCAGCAGCATGCCAATAAACGTTGCCAGTGTCAGCAGCACCGCCATCGTTATCGTCATCATCAGCGTCGAAAAGCATCGTCGTCGCCACCATCATCGCCACAACCACCATCACAACGACCATCACCGTCATCATCATCATCATCATCATCATCATCATCATCATCATCATCATCATCATCATCATCATCATCATCGCCATCACCATCGCCAGCATTACCATCACAATCACCATCACCATCACCATCACCATCAACGCAATCATCACTACCACCATCATCATCATCATCATCATCATCATCATCATCATTATTATCAGTAACACCATCGTCATCACGCCCATCATCCTCATAATCCTCATCACGGCTGCCTCAAGCCTGGAGGAACGAGGTGTCGCACGCGACGGCTTCCCGCGCCCCCTCGAACAAAGGAAACCCATAATGCTTGACAAGCACGGTAGCGGCACTAGCCGGAGGCAACTAGATATTACACACCTCCGCGGTGCTAGCTTTGTCTTCTCTTTCTGAGCTGGCAGGCAAACAAAAAGAACTGTTTATGAAGCAACTGGTCCTCGACATGGAAACAATGCCTCTCAGTACGTCCTTGTTCCCGTGTATATATAGATATATAAGTCTATATAAGGAATTGCGGCTGCACGTGCGCAAAAACACAAGCTGGGAACCTCGAAGGTGGCATTTGTTACAAAGGAATATGGGAATATCCGATTTAATGCAAGTCTGCGCTTTTAGAAAACAGCGGTGCAGTCTGCCACTGGGCTGGACATTTTTCCTGTGCAGTGTGCCAGGGGCCTCGCATGGCACACAAGTATACGACGGCGGGCGTCGGGAAACATGCCTCCGCGAGACGCTTTGAATATGCGCCGCCGGGGGGCCCCAGCACCGATCCGAAAAATCCGCGCGGACCTCAGAGTTGTTATGTTTATGCCACTTTTCGTTCCCCTAACATATCTGACATGTGGTGGGTGTGGCCTGTGTTGCATTCGCCATCCGTTTTCTGGTGCGCGTTTTCATATTGACGACGCCGATTTCGCCGACGCGGCGGGCTGCAAGCGAGCATCCAGTAAGCCAGCCTTCGACACACGGCTGTCCAACTGAAGATCCTCGACCACTCTCTCCTCGTCGTCATTCTCCTCTAGCAGGAGGAGCCACGGGCCAAACGGCGTTAAGTTCGCTGGCCTCGATGACAGAATGTGTTCAAGAATACATTTCCATCCGTCACCGTAGATGACATGAACCAATCGGCCTCAGAGAAGAGGAATAAGGAAAGGTAGGACGATGGCGAGGACGAGAAGGACGACGAAAAGGAGGAGGCAGACGAGGACGACGAGAAGGCAAGGCAAGGCAACCCTGGGGTGCTACCAAGGCGCCTTCTACCTTAAAGAGTTGTAAACTAACTGGCACCTGAGTGACATCACACATGCAGTTTCCCGGAGCGGTTGATGTTACAGGTGGAACGCGCACGGGCCTCAACCCGCCCCTTTCCTGGGATGTGCCAGTTAGGGGGGTGATGGCACCGCCACATCATCACAGGTAAAGCCCGTTAGCTTCTGAACTCTGACGTTTCTTGACATGCTGCTCGCTAATCTTCGGGACGAAGCGGCACGCTTCGGCTCCTGGGACACTCCTTTGTATGATATGAAAACATCCAGCGAGTGCGAAGTCCTGAGGAGTGGAAGAAGCCGAGGAGCAGACAATAGCACCAGCAGAGCTCGCCGAGGAGGAAGCGTGAGGCAGGTCCCCGCGCCGGAGCAGAGCCCTATAAATGGGCCGAAACTTGTACGGGCAGCGGGCACCACTAGGCCCCTCTCTCTCTTTCGCTCTCGGGAGGCGGCTCACTGAAGGCTCCAGCGGATAGCCAGGGCAAGGGTTAGGTCGGACGCGTCCTCCTACAAGCGGACTTTGGACGACAAAAATACAGTGAAACAAATACCCCGAAATAATCAAGAATGGTGGAACAATTGTCCCAATCTCTTTTTGACTATAAATGAACGCTCCTCCTGTAGAGGGACACGCCCGACTTAAGACAAGGGGCAGACTGACAAACGACAGCGAAGGGCGAGGAGGAGGACGAGAGGCAGCCAGAGCGCGAGGAGGAAGAGTGGATGCGAACAAAGGAAGAAGAATAAGAAGAAGGGAAAGACGGAGAAAGGGGAGGGACCGTAATGCAGAAGGGGGCGGAGGCGGGGAAGGAGGCAGAAGAGAAGTGTGTGGAAATTGACTGAGTTGTCCCTGGGCCAAGGCGCCCCAAAGATTTTCAAGGAGGCCCCCACGGCCATTTGAGCATCCCTCACTAGGCCTGGCGCCCCAGGGGCTTCAAAATGAAGCGAAAAGCTGGGAGCAACCGAGTGATGATTCAGGACCATCAGGGCAACACTGCATAAACATAACTTGGATCGGAACTGGACAACGCCTCCCGCACCGGGCATGGCGCGCGAAAGCGCCGATCCAATACATCCGCGCGCACCGCAGGCAATGTTCATGAACAATCGAGCTTGATTGGAGAGGACACACGAGGAGGACACGGGAACTCTTCCGCAAACCACACTGCCTGAGGAAGGGACAGGGCACGGGACGCAGGACGCGGGACGCACGGGCACCCATGATCTTGAAGGATCGGCCCACGAATGTGCGGGGCTGGATGTGTCATGCGTAGCGGAATTGGCCCTTGCGGCGGGCTTCTCTCACTGCACGATCGAGCCTCGCAGACTGCCAACGGCCTCCACTGGCCCCCCCCTCCCCGCCCCCCCACTCGCATCCGCAGCTGCATGGGCTGTAGCTGTCTTTTCCGAGGGGAGGAGGGAGAGGGGAGGGAGAGGAGGAGGAGGAGGAGGAGGGAGGGAGGAGGGAGGGAGGGAGAGAGGAGGGAGGGAGAGAGGAGGGAGGGAGAGAGGAGGGAGGGAGAGAGGAGGGGAGGAGGGAGAGAGGAGGGAGGGAGGAGGAGGGAGAGAGGAGGGAGGGAGAGGCGGGAGGAGGCAGTGGAGAGAGACGACGAGAGGCGACCGCCGGAAGCTCACTGCCGCCTTCAGCATCACGCGCGAAATGCTCGTCCAGGTCGCGCGCGCGCGGCGCAAGCGCCCGTCGCGCCGACCCAGAGGCGGCTCACGCGGCTGAGGTCGAAGAGCACGCGCCGACCAAGTTCCTCGGCTCGCCGCGTCGGCGCGCGCGCGCGTGGCCCTGCGGCGTCCGTCACAGTCGCTCGGAGGCTCTCTCTCGCCATCGTCGAGCGGCATCTCCTGGGAAACTCCTCTGGACGAGCTCGTCCAGGTTAACCTGTCCAGAAGAGCTCGCTCTGATGAGTTCGCTCGGATGCTCCATATCAGGATAAACTCGTGAACGCGTCCAGAATAAACTATCCAGATGAGCTCGTCCAAAGAAACTCGCCCTGGATGACCTCGTCAGGATGATCCAAAACCCGCTTCGGATGAAACAGGAGACTTTGCTTTATGTAGCGGCCACGATGACGTTCTGCGCAGCGCGTCACGGCGGCGGCCGCTGCGACATGCAGTGGCCTTCAAGCCGACAGCGCGTCGCCCTGCCTCGTGGGGCGGGAGATGCGGGGAGCTCCAAGCGCTTGTGATGGGGAACTGGACATGCTTCAGCGTAGTGGGCCACAACGGGGGGCGCGGTACAGGACGCAAACGTTCCTAAAAGGGATATGTCGACCCCTATCCCAGGTTTTGGGAGGAGATCGAGCGGATCAACAATTTGGGGCCCAACCCTGGGATAGACGATGGGGGAGCGTCCATTCTCGACAGGGGTGCGTCCGAATGGCCCCCTCGGGGTATATCCCCGGATTTTCTTTCTTTTCTGCGGCCTCATTTATCTTCGAAAAATCGGTGGGGGGGAGAAAAATCGCCTGCGAGTTCCTGACCGTAGAGCGCAAAGGCCCCCACGTGGCACCGTGGACTGCTCCAAATGCGGAACCGCAACAGGCGAGGATAAGTGCAGAAAGGACTGCTGCAAAATGGTCCACGTCCTCCTCCCTGCATTCGCCGGTCTCCTCTCCTCTCTACCTCTTCTCCCTCCTCTTCGATGTCGTCCTGCTCTGCCCTCTGCTCTTATCTGCCTCCTCCTTCTCCCCGTCCTTGTCTTTCTCGTAATGGTAAGTCGGGCCTGTCCTCCTACAGGGGGGTTTTGTACGAAAGATTTAGAAACATGAAAATACTCCAAATGGTCAACAATACCAAAAACATCGCCCCTGGACGTTTTTTTTTATTACTTTTTAAATATTCCTCATGTAGAGGGACAAGCCCGACTTAATCGTGATGATCCCACTCCTGTGTTTGAAATCAACGGCGGCCTCAGCATGAGACAACTCCGGCTAATCGACACCCCAAGGGTAGAACGCCAAAATTTCTTGAGAAGGGCATTGACCAGGTCGAAGTCGACAGAAACATCTGACTTGTCAGAATACTCCCACGGTCATTAATGTGAACACCCGTCGCCATGGGAGCTCTACAGGGACCTCCCAGAACCTCCATCTAGGCTCCCGAAAGGGTGCGAGCGACAGCGCGAAGGCAAACAAGAGCGTGCGAACTGCCACTGCACCTTGATCGCGATGACTCGGTGCTGGATCCGGTCCAGCGCAGCTGGGTCAATTGTCTGCCGCGCCCTCGCCAAAAACCACTCCGCCTCCTCATCCTCCTCCTCCTCCTTCTCCTCCTCCTCCGTCGCTTCCCGCCCACCTTCCCGGCGGGGAGGGGGGGGGGCCACTGGACGAACGATGTCTCATGTTTTCCGTTCCTCCAGCGCCCGCGCAACCCCCCCCCTTCCCACAGGCGAATTCGCCCCTCCCGCTCCAACGCGCCGCGCACCGCAGGGGCCGCCCGCGGAGCCCGCCGCCGGGCCCCCATCCGGCGCGCGGAAGGCCCAAACAGAAGGACGAGCGGGCGAAGCGCCCGGCGACCAGCGTCAACCAGCGCATCCCAGCGCACACGGATGCGCGTGTCCAGTCCGACGAAGAGGGGTGGCAAAGGCACCCAGCGAAGCAGGGGAACAAACAGCGGCGTCGGCGCGACGAAACCCGAAAAGCTTGCGCAAACACGCACAGACACACTTTCTGCTCGGCAGGCGACTGCGCGGCGTCTCGGCGGTCTCCAGCGCCTGGGAGTGGACCACACACACACGCTTTTTGAAGGGGCCCAAGACACACAAATAAATACGCACAAAGAACAAGATTCCCCATATATCGTTACATGGTTTCGGGGCTTTTGCCTTCCCCACCACTGCCCCTATTTTCTCATCTATGTTCCTGGGAGAGTCGACGATCACTTGTGTCTGTGTGTCTTTTCCCCCTTACCCCCCGGACGTCGACTTGGTTACGTCCTCCCTCACGCAGCACTCGAGGATGGTGATTTTGACGCGCCGTTGACGGCAACACCACTTCGCTCTCCCTCCGGGACTTCGCCTCCGGCTCCTGTCCAAGGCGTACCTGTTCCTGTGCAAGCTCTCCGGCACCGCCTGCACCCCGCGCCCTCCGGCCGCCTGAGACCCCGCCCACCCGCGGCGGTCCCGCGGCGGTGTGTTTTTCCCCCTCCTGACTTCTGGCGGTCCCGGCCGCGCGCGCGCGCGGCGACGAGGCGCGCGGAAGGAGCGCACGCGCGCGGTCGGGCCCCCCGTCGGGATCGCTGTGGGTCGCCGCAGGTGCCACCTGGGCGGGGGGCAGCACCTGGCCACCCCCACCACCACCATACGTTGGAGGGGGAGGGAGTCCTCCTTCTCCTCCACCCCCTCGTCCTCCTCCTCCTCCTCCCCCCCTCCTCCTCCTCCCCCCCTCCTCGTCCTCCACCTCCTCCCCCCCTCCAACTTCTGGTGGTGGTGCTGGAAAACATTGCCAACCTGGAACATATCCCTATCCCTATGATGGGCATCTCCTCATCACGATGCCAATCGTAGGGATTCCCTTATTTTTTGACGGCGAATCCCTAAGATTGTCATCGCCATTTGGCGTGTCCATTTTAGGGATAGGGAGAAGTTCGAGGCTGGGAAGCACCTGGCCATCTGAGTGTGGAGGGCGGGGAGGGAGGGCCACTGCTCGCCACGGGGGGCCTCCCACGCGGAGGCCGCAGCGCGTGGCCAGAGTTAAGTCGGGCCTGTCCCCCTACACAGGGGGACTTCCGACGAAAAATAGAAGGTACCCCAAAAATATACCAAAAAGGTCAAACAAATACTCCAAAAATAGTCCCCAGACTACTTTTGGATTATGTTTTGCTTATTTTTGGGGTATTTTTTATTTTTCGTCGAAGATCCCCCTGTAGGGGGATGGGCCCGACATAATGCCAGAGGCATCAGCACCCAACCAGCGAGGGCGCGGTGGTCGAAGAGGAGGCCGCCATCGGCGCTGTGCGGACGTCCCGCACGGCAGGGGGGAAGGATGCGAGGAGCGGAGCGGGGGCAACAGTGACAGTGCAGAGACAAGGCGAGGCACACGCGCACACGGACACACAGGCGGCACACGTGCACACGCTGGCACTCGGCGGCGAGCCCAGGGGGGAGGTGACGGGCCTTCTCGGAAGGCTCGGAGGTCCCCCCAGCCTGTTGAGAAATGTTCTACGCCTTCCCCAAAGACACGGACAACTTCTCAGAAGGCCGGAGGGCTTCTGAGAAGTCCCGCCGCCTTCTGGCAAAAGGCCTTCTCCTTCTGATTTTCCCCCCTTCGTTCGCCGCCGACACACAATCACACACACAAACACGCACACCAACACACGCACAAACGAACACAAACACACAAACACACGCACACAAAGACACACACACGCTTTTTGTTGCGCTGAGACTACGCGCGCGGCGACGAGGCGTAGAGAGTCAAGAGGCAAGAGACAGCACACACACACACACTCACACATACACACCGACACACACACGCGCATGTTTCCTTCCCCCCGCCGGATTGGATCAAAGAGAGCGTTTGAACATGCGGGGCGCGCGGCACGAAACGCACACGCGTTTCTTAAGCATGCGCTCCTGCCAAAGCCGTATTATCCAGGGGTTTGGGGGGGCGATTGCGAGCAGGTGGGAAGGAATCAAACAACACACACATTCCTCTCCAACGTCAGCCGTGTCCTCCACCCTCATTCACCCTCCTCCTCACACAAAGTCCTCATCCATCATCTTGCTCCTAATCCTCCGCCTCCTCCTCCGTCGTGGAGGAGGGAGGACGGGGATGGAGACGAGGTGGAGCAGGAGGAGGTAAGAGGAAGTGGGGGAGCGCAGATGTGGACGGAGGGAGGAGGAGGGCGGAGGAGGGGGGCGGACGACGGACGAGGGTGGAACTTGGAGGACGAGGGCGCACGAGGGTGGAGAAGCGGTTGAGAGAGGGGGGGAGGAGCCCGAGCTCTGTTTCACAAACGCCCGCGCCGTGCGCACGGGCCATGCTGGCCTGGCGAGCGGACCGGTCGTCCTCGGTACGCTCAGTTCATGCGCGAGACCAGCTCGTTGATGAGATCCTCCCGGTTGCCCCACGCGCCGCCGCGCTGCTCGCAGAAGCCGTGGCGCTTCTTCTCGAAGCCGCCCTTCGGGGCGGACAGTTTAAAGGGCCACAAGAAGTTGGAGGCCTGCTTGAAGCTCGGCCCGACGCTGTAGATCTCGTGGATGAGGTCCTCCACGCCGTTGATGCCCTGCTCCCCGAGGCTGCTCGCGATGATCTCGTTGTCGGAGAGCGGGAGGCGCTGCTTGTTCACCTTGCCAAAGCCGCGCTTATACACGAGTTCCCTCACGGTCTTGAGAGTTGGGTAGCCGTACGTGACGTACGGCTGCACCTGGAAAGAAGGAGACTCTCGTGCACACTCCGGGTAAGAAGCAAGATCCCTTCACACTAAGATGTGGTGCTCCTGATGTTCTCCAACAGTGACCTTCCCACCTAAGCACGCTGCACAATGCTACAGCAAGGACGCACCACAGCGTGACACGGAGTCACGCGGAGAAAAACATAATGATGTCAGCCCCCTTCGAAGCGACGAGAACTGCGTCCCCGCCTCTTCGAAGAGAACGGGCATCGCTCATCACGCCATGTGAAGGTTCCAGGAGGCCCCTAAAGGTCTGCGCGGAGGACCCGACGTGGCCACCCCAGAAGTTCCCAAAATGCTTCCGCAGGCCGAGAAAGGACCAGAAACGTGCAGCAAAAACAACCCCGATCTTCCGTCGCCGCCGCCGCGGCCATCGACGAGAGTTTGCCGCGAGGTGTCCGAGGCCGGTCCATGCGGAAGCCGAGCCAAGGCGAAGGACTTCCGATGGGAGGCCAGGCCTGGGTCTGCAGTGCTCTACTCTGGGAGGCAGCTGACATGGGGCCAGGTGCGGCGAGAGGGTCGCACCACATCGCCGCCGAATCGGCGATGCGTCCGTGGCGTCGGGATTGAGGAAATCGGGTTCCCGATCACGCCGACATCCCCGATGCAGCGGCGATGCGGGGCGATCCTCCGACCCTTTCTACTCCGGCCCCATTGAGGCGGCCTGGATCCTTGCGGCCTTCACACAACAAACACTCGCGGGGGTCTATTCCCAGGGCCCGATCAGACGACCCGTCGTCTCAAATGGACACCGCCCGCGGCGACACCGACAGCGAGTCTTGATCATTATGGGCAAGAGGTCGCCAATATTTTCCCGACTCTTCCCATATCAGTGTCGCCTGTATTGCTTATGCACAAAAACAAATTGAAAAGCAGCACGGAGGGCGACCACCTCTGCTCGAGGCAACGATGCGGCGGCTGCAAGGCGAATCGAAAGGCCGCCAGGCGAACCAGAAAGGCCTCAAAAACCGACGCGCCTGTGAGAAAGCCAGCACGCTGCAACTGTACCGAACGAACGGCGGGGGTGAATTTGCGGCTCGCAGGCGCCAGCTTGAGCATGTTCAAGATCGGCTTGTTGACCTTCAGGAACACGCCGTTGTGCAGCTGCTTCAGCCGGAGGAGCTGGAGCACCTCTGCACGGTGCGCGCAAATCTGGTCTCGAGGCGGCCCTCACGCAGGTCCAGCGCACGCTCGTGCTTCTAATTTCTGGAGGTGGAGCTCTTCAACCTACTTCTCCTCCTCGTCCTCCTCCGCTGTTCCCGACTCCTCGTTGCGCAAAATCTTCGGGGGGAGGGGCCTTGTTGTCCTGCAAATAGAGCACTTGCAAGTACCAAGCGCAGGTCGGCGCGAACCCGACGTGGATTCGGCATGGATTCTACGCGTTCGAACCGATATCGACGCGGATACCTGGAGTGACAATTGCACAGACCTGGCCCTCCGAAAATGCAATATAACACTTGCACTCTGGCTCCCTTACGAATCCTCCTCCACCTCCAGGTGGGGTGTGTATCCCTGCCTCCCTGCTTCCATACCCTCCTCTCAAGCCCTGTCTCTTCCTCCTCGCCCAAATCATCCTCCATGCTCCCCATCCTCCTCATCCACCCAGCCTCCCTTGGATCCCCCTCCTGCTCCGCCTACTCCGACCACGACCACCACCACCCCGTCCCAGCCCTACTCCACCTCGTCCTCCGGCGGCTCAGAAGGCCGAGGAGAAGGGTCAGCAGAGTAAGTTGAGGGTGGAGAGGGCGGAGGGGCCCTGAACGATGAGAAGGGAGAGGGAAAGCAGCAGTAGAAATGGCAGCGAGAGGTTGGAAAATCCACAGGCCTTGCGCGGCTTGGGGCTCAGCTTGATAATGCCGACAATCCTTACCACGAACAGCAGCTTGGCCTGCACAGGGGCATGGCTAGACTACCCGGCAGGCAAAGGGACAAGGCTGGAGAGAGAGAGAGAGAGGAAGGGGAATACGGAAGGCTCGTGTCGTGACGATCCATGGACCATTAAGCCTTGAACGATCGCAGCTTTACGATAACGCGCATTTCTCGATATCCGCCGATTCCACGCCACAGGTGGCATTGAACATTGCGCGCCCGCGCTGGCGTCGACGCCGCGTCGATACGACACGAACGTACCGTAAGGGAGAGAGGCAGGAAGGGGGTGGAAGAGGAGGGTATCACAGCATATTCGTACCAGTGGATCTACTTGGGAGTCCGCCCCCTGCAGACCTAGAGTGTTTGGGGGGCACAGAACCTGGCTACTGCTCGCAAGTACTTTAGTGTGCTTTGTGGTCAGGATTAGGCCGGGCATGTCCCCTACAGGAGGATTTTGGATGAAAAGGAATACATGCCCCCCGAATCCTCCAAACATATTTAAAACATGTCAAACAAAAACCAGCCCCTGACACATGTTTTAACTATGGTTGAATCTTCCTCCTGTAGAGGGACACGCCCGGCGTAAGGCCAGGACGACGTCTGCCGGATGTCTTCATGGGAATCTGGGGACATGGTGTGCTCAGCAGCGACATGCCCCGTCTTCCCGCTCCTCCTCCTCCTCCTGTCGCCTCGAACTGCCGCCTGCTCCTGTCCTTTGTCCTCCTCCTCCTCCTCCCCTCCTCCTCCTCCTCCTCATCCTCATCCTCCTCCTCCTCCTCCTGTTTCAGCATCCGTTCACGAATATTCGCCGTCGTCGTCATGATCGTCATCGTTTCCCGCCCTCTCCGCCTACGCCTTTCTCATCACATCCTTCGTCTTATCCAGATGCTACTGCTTATTCATGAAATATGATCCTCCTTCTGCAGCTACTTCCCCAACATCTCATCAACCTCCCACTGCCTTTTGCCGCCGCAACTTCCGTTGCTGATGTTTCCGCGGCTGCTGCTGCAGCTCCTCCGTCTCCTCCTCATGTTCTTGCTCCTGCTCCTGCTCCTGCTCTTGCTCCTGCTCCTGCTCCTGCTCATCCTCCTCCTCCTCTTCCTCCACATGGTCCTGACGCTGCGGGCGGGCTCAAGCAAACTGCGATGACCTAACGTCCTCCTCCTCCTCGTCGTCCTCCTCGTTCTCCTCCTGTTCCTCTTCGTCGCTAACCTCATTATCCTTGCTTCCCGTCGTCCTCCTGTGCTCTCCCCGCCCTGGCCTCTGGCTCAACGAAGAAGTTGCCCGCCGCCTTGGCCTGCCGGCGCAGCGCCACGAGTCTTCGGGTGTGCGTGGCGTACTCCTCTGGGCGCCCGTGGAAGTCCGCCCAGGCGGCCCCGCCCGACAGAGGGGGAGAAGAGGAAGGGAGCGGAGAGGATGGCATCCCGAGGGGAGGGGATGGGAGTTGAGGGCCGGGAAGTGAACGGCAGGAACGGGTGGGGATGGGAGGGGAGAGGACGCAAGGGGGGGAGGGAACGAGGGAGTTTTCACCACAGACACCAACCGCTAACGAAACATTGTATGCCTTGGGTGATCCAGTCAAGCGGCTGGCGTCAGTTTAGACGAGGAACTGGCAAGCAAGGAGGAATAGGAGGAGACCAGAGAGAGAGATATGAAGGAGAGGCACTCGCCGCGATGCGCGGGGCCGCGTGGCTCTGGAGATTTCATGTCTCCCCTCAGGCGGGGGCTCTTGCAACATGCATGCGAAACGTTGAGCGTGATGACGGAAAACGACGGAGCTCATAAAGTATCCTGGAAAATACTGGCCACTGCATACCGCTAGCTACAAGACTCATCGAATTTCGTTATCTTTACCTTTCCCCTCTCTCCATTACCAGGCGGATGAAGGGGATGAGGCCAGCAATGCAATTTCAAACGGTTTGAACATAACGGCCGCAAAGAATACGAATCAACGCTTTCAGTCGACATCCAAGGTCCTCGCAAGCAATGTGCAAGGCCGACACCTCCTCAGGAGTGCGTGGAGAAGATTGTCGCCATCTCCGGTCACCTCCCCCCCCTCCCTCGGCGTCCTGACAATGCCAAGCGCAATTTCAAAAAGTCCATCTGAGATTCTGCGTTCGGGGAGGCGTTAGGCGAAACCTCAGGAGGGAACATGACCAAGGAGGGGGGGGAGGCCTACACTTTGAGACCGTGATGAAAGAATGTGAACATGCATTAAACATAACATGAACGCTTCCATGACACATCAACATGCTTTCAGAATGTCGGCTGCGCCTCCCCCTGGCAACAATCACTCCCCGACGTTTTGCCGAACACCCCCCGACCGTAAAATGTCGAATGGGAATGTTTCCACTGCACACCTCACATCGCACTTCGCGCCAAGCCCCTGATGCACCATTGCCCGACGCCTCACAGGCGCACCCACATCCGTTTTTCCACGCGCGACGGCAAACATCCGTAGATGGCAAAACACGTCCTTTGCATGCGGCACTCGACAGAGCAAAGCAGCGTACCACGAGGCAAGTTGCGGAGCCCAAATCGGTTGTTCAAAAACCAGAAGCCGAACACTGCTTCACGCGAAGTTGTTGTGTTCACCGCACCTCTTCTCGAGAGAGGAGAAGAGGAGAGAAGAAGGTCATCGTCGCCGGACCGAAGTACGACCGCAAGGCGGGAACCCCGCCCACTCTGCAAGCACGGGGTAACTGAGAGAAGATAAAGGGAGACGAGCGTCGAGAGAAGGCTGCCCCGCCTACCTCTTTTCGAAGAGGCTCTTTATGACCAGTCGACCTTGGGAGCGCTGTGGGGGAACACCTCGCGGGCGCGCTCCTGGGTTCTGGCACTCCTGTGGGGGAGGGCCTCTGCTCCGTGGAGGGCGATCCTCGCCTGCTGCTTCTCAGTGGACTGGGGGGGGGAGAGTCAGAGGAAACGAAGTAGGAGGCGGAGGCGAGAGGACGAGCGGGGGAACCTCCAAAGCCCACTGCTCGGTCGATGTCGTCCGGATCTGTGGTGGGGTCGTGCCAAGATTGGTCCAACGGAAACTCCTCTTGAGTCGGAGGCTGCAGGAAGAATGCATCGCCCTCGAATTTAGAAAATGGATTTCAAGTTCACCCCGGCTTGATTTCTGCTAGGACGCATTCCTGATCGCAATCCTCAGTCTACGAAACATGAACATGCACGAGACTATCCGCATGGGTCACGTGGCTGAAAGAGGGCGGCGAGGGGCGAGGAAGGGGATGGGCAGACGGAAGCACGACGGGAGGAAAGTAACGTAAGATAGAGAAACATACGGGGAGAGGGAGAGAACGAGAGAGAGAGAGACAACAACAAGAGAGAGCTAAACATAAAAAGCGAGAGAGAGAGAGAGAAATAACAAGAGAGAGAGAGAGAGATAACAAAAAAACAAATTATTCTGGCGAAGAACCCTACCATATGCAGTTGTGGGTACCGCAGTTGTGAATATCTTCCTCGGTGCAGCTCCCCATGGGGCCACGAAGCGCTGCACTGGGTGGGGGAACGCGTGCGGGCGGTAGCACTGGGGCCGTCGCTGTAGCTCCCTATGGGGCAACGAAACGTTGTACTGGGTGGGTGAAAGCGCTTAATTGGGTGTGTGGGACGCATGCGGGCGGTCCCACTGGGGCCTTCGGTGGAGCTCACGATGGGGCAACAAAACGCTGTACTGGGTAAGTGCACGACATACCAAATTGGGTGTGTGGGACGCATGCGAGCGGTCCCACTGGGGGCATCGGTGGAGCTCACGATGGGGCCACAAGACGGTGTACTGGGTAGGTAAACATGCAAAATTGGGAGCGTGGGACGCATGCGGGCGGTCCCACTGGGGGCTTCGGTGGAGCTCCCTATGCGGCCACGAAGCGCGGTACTGGGTGGGTGAGAACGCCAAATTGGGCATTCGGGACGCATGCGGGCAGTCGCGGTCCCACCGGGGGCTTCGGTGGAGCTCTGTATGGGGCCACGAAACGCTGTACTGGGTGGGTGAACATGCCAACTTGGGTTTTCGGGACGCATGCGAACGGTCCAAGTGGGGCCTTCGGTGGAGCTCCTTATAAGGCCACGAAGCGCTGTACTGGGAGAATGGAACTGCCAAATTTGGTGTGCGGTCCCACTGGGGCCGACGGTGGGGTGCCCTATAGGGGCCACGAGACGCTGTGCTGGGTGGGTGAAACGCATGCGGACGGTAGCACTGGAACCTTCGGTGGGGCTCCCCATGGGGCCACGAAAAAATGCTGTACTAGGTGTGCGGGACGCATGCGAACGGTAGCAATGGGACCTTCGGATGGTTCCCCTATGGGGCCAGGAAGCGCTGTACTGGGTGGGTGAAACGCAGAGAGGCGGGAGGAGGGGGCCACGAAACGCTGAACTGGGCGTGCGGGGCGCATGCGGACGGTAGCTTTGGGGCTTTCGGTGGGGCTCCCTATGGGTCTACGAAGCGCTGTGCTGGGTGGGTGAAACGCAGGGAGGAGGGAGGATGGGGAGGGGGAGGGAGGAGGGCAAGGGGAGGAGAGAGGAACGCCGGGCACCGTCTCTTCAAAACGAGGAACCAACACCGCAAGATGCTTGGGACAAAAAACAGAATGAAGGGGGGGCGGGGGGGCAGGAGGAAACAATGGAACGAGCATGCAAGAGGGAGGGGAGGGAGAGAGCGGGAGGAAGGCAGCAGGAAAAATGGAAGTGGGAGGAGACGCATGGGAGAGGGTAGAAGAGGGGAGGGACGATGGAGGGAGCGATAGGGAGCTTAGCCGTCAGGCTATCGCGTCCAGCGAAGGGAGGGAGGACCCCCCCGGGTGCGCCACCAGGCCCTCCGAAGAGGCACGCGCACCAGGTGCGGCCCCCGACTACGCTGGCCGAAGTTGCAGCACCAGCTGCAAACTCAGCGAGGCGAGGTCGGGTTCCGTCCCTGGCGGAGGCCCCCGGGGGGGCCCGCCCCCCCCGACGCTGCCCCCTTCACGTCTCGAGCTCCATCTCCTCGGCCCCGCCGTCGGCGGCCGGCTCGACGCCGAGCTTGGCCATCGCCGTGCCGACGCCAAGCCGAACACGCCACGAAGGATTGCAAAAAAACCCAGGATTGCAAAAAAACCCTGGATTGCAAAGGATTGCAATCCTTGAACGAAGGATTGCAAAAAAACCCTCGCTTGAACGAAGGATTGCAAAAAAACCCTTCGTTTTTTTGCAATCCTTCGTTTTTTTGCAATCCTTCGTTCATATGGAGAAGATGAGCTTCAGCATCGCACGCACACCCCGTTGAACGATCTGGCCAACCCCTGGGAGCCGCACAACGTGCAGACGAAGCAGTAGACGCAGATTTCCGGCAGCATCCCGTTGCCACCGGGTGGCGGCCGAGCCACACGGCGTACCCCAATTCCGCACACTCCACGCGAAGAAGACCTCCGACGGATCCACCCCGAAGCATTTGTGGATCACCATAGAGCACGCCGAACCACGCACTGGTGACTGGTGCCAGTCGAAGCCGCTCGAAGAACAAAGTGTGATTCGCAGCTACAACCTCCACCCAGATGAAGAGGACCACGATTAGTATCAGCTGCTGGGCGCCCTCCCCGAGTCATCTCGACTACGACGTCGAAGCAAACAAGAAGCACCCAGCCTGGAATACCACAATGCCGCCGAGGTTCGGCCGAGCTGCGCCCCTTCGAAGTGCACTCGGCCAACCTCGAGCTCTCGAGGCGAAAGGGCTGACGGAGGGAGGGAGAGGGAGAAGGAGCAGGGGGAAAGGGGGTGGGGGAGGTGGAGTGGCATGGGGGGAGGAAGCGGGAGGGGGAGTGACGTGCGAGGGAGGGGAGAGGCTTGCAGTCGCTCGGACGTCCATGTCCCGTGCATGTTGCGGTTTCGTGCGTGTTTTCTTTGCTCGATGGTCCAGGATGGTCCCCGATGGTTTTCGCCGAGAGAAAATGCACACGTCCGAGCGATGCCAGGGAGGGAGGGGGGGGCGGAAGGGGAGGATGAGGCAGGCTCAGCAGGGGGAGTGCAGGGGCCGACCTTCCCCATCCACCCCCTTCCGCATCTTATCCTCCTCCACCTCCTCTGCTCCTCGTCTCCTCCTCTGCTCCTCGTCCTCCCCTTGGTCCTCCTCCTCCTTCTCCTCCTCCTCCTCCTCCTCCCTCCCCGCGTCCTTCTCGTACTTCAGCGTGCGCATCTTCAGGTCGTGCCGACGGGTAGCCCGCTCAACCTTCTTGACCGCGGCGGCCTTCTGCGCACCAGGCCACACCAAACACCTCCTCCTCCTCCTCCTCCTCCTCATCCTCATCCTCCTCATACTTCTGCTCCTCCTCCTCCTCCTCTTCCTTCTCCTCCTCCTCCTCCTCCTCCTCCTCCTCCTCCTCCTCCTCATTGTCCGCCCCCCTCCCCCCCCAGTGGCGTGAACAGAGCGGTTATCCTGCAGGAAAGGGGTCCTGGACTCCTGCTGCCGTCTCCGGCCCCCCTGGGGCCCGCCACGGGCCGCCAGGACAGCACCATCAAACAACGACTCGGGACGGAGGGCCCCGGGGAACGCCCCGGGGAGATCTGGGAGCCGCTGGGAGGTTTGCGAGCAGGCACGTGGCGAGGTGGTGGAACGCGCTCAGTGAGATAAGGCCTAGCAGAGAACCCCGGCCAAGAGGGGGGAGGAGGGCGAAGCCGCTCAAAACCAAGCCGTGGCCCCACCTGGTGTCGAAACTGGCATATATATATATATATATACACATATGTATACATAATTATGTATACACGTATACATATAACTATGTATATATATATACACACAAACATGTATATATATATATATACACGTATACATGCAGACATACATACGTACAAACCTACATACCTACATATCTACATTCATACATACATATAGACAGACAGACAGACAGACAGACAGACAGACAGACAGACAACCAGACATACATACATACATACACCCATATACATGCACACATACATGCATCTATTGATACACACATACATAGTTACATACATAATGTATGCATGCATACATGCATGCATACATAAATGCATACATACATACATGCACACACACACATATATATATATATATATATATCGAGCCGCGTCCAGCCGTGGCGGCGGAGGGCCCTCTTATCCCCCCCCTTTTCTGCTGGCCGGCACCAGTGCTGGGCCACCTCAACCCCCCAGCCAGCTGCAACCCTCAGGCAGGGCTGAACCTAAACGGTGTTTATCGTTTTCGTTGTGTTTTCGTTTTCCCTCATTGTGTCTTCAATCCACCTCTACCGCAAAAAAAAGTCGAAACGAAAACGGCCCACGAAATCGCCAAAACACCGTTTAGGTCCAGCCCTGCCCTCAGGTAAGTAGCCGAACTCGATACACATACGCTTCGTCCGGCCCCGCACCAAAAGTCGCACAGGAAAGCGGATGCTGGTCTATACGGGATCCTGTTGTATTAATCGTTCACGGTTTCCCCGGAAAACGGGGAAACAGTATACACCACACCACCCCGACGTCGTCCTTGATCCTCAAAGAAGCCTGGGATTGCAAGACAGCCCGCCACAGGTTATATATATATATACATATATATATAGATATAGATGTTTGCCCCAGTTCCCGATCAGGACCCATTTCCTTCATGGCCACCCTTTTCTTCTCTTCCTCCCGTCTCGCCCGTCCGTCTCCGCCGCCTGCTCCCAAAATGCTACGGCACCCTACCAACTACTATTTCTCGCAGACCACCGGCCTGCGGCTGCTGAGGGGGCTGCGGGCCGGACATGTGCCCTCCGCCTGCCCCCTCTGGCCTTCTGACGTGTGGGTCGTTGACTTGCACTTCGCTCTCCCTCGCGGGCACGCCCGCCCGGATCTAGCCCGAGCGAACATTTGGTTGACCCGTAGCGGGGTCCAGCTGAAAGGGAGTTGCACAGTAGGGTCGGGGAAATTGCACTGCAATCGTGTGGCGACGGAGAAGTAGATTGCACGCGAATCTCCAGCAACGCACGTGCGCACAGCAATGTATTGCACGCCCCAAATCGATTGCAACCGCACAGCTCTGCAATAGCTTTGGGGCGTGCAGTACCTTCTGGTGCGCAAGTGTGTTGCTGGAGCTCCGCGCGCAACAGCTCCGATGCAACAATGCAGGGCAATATGTTCCTCCGTCGCCACACGTTTGCACTGCGTTCGCCCCGGAACTCTTGCGCCGCCCCCTCTCGGCTGGACCCCCTCTGGGCATCGCTCGGATGTCCATTCCCTGTGTTTTTGTTCGGTTTCGTGCGTGGCTTCTTCGCCAGATGATCAAGGATGCTCCTCGAGGGTCCTCGCCGAAGGAAACATGCACACGTCCGAGCGCTGCCACGGCCCCTTGCGGGGCAAGCGCAGCACAGCGGCACCCCGCCGCGAGGGGCCCGCTGAGCCTCCGGCCGCACGCTGCGCTCGGGCCGCGGGCGCGCGGCCCCCGAGGCGGCCGGCGCCAGCACGGGGCGGGCGCCGGCGGGACGGGGCCGGGTGCGCGGCCAGAAGGGGGGAGGCCCGGAGGAGCGGCCGCGAAGCGGGGGAGGAGGAGGAGGAGGAGCGAGGAGGAGGAGGGGGAGGAGGAGGGGGAGGAGGAGGAGGGGGAGGAGGAGGAGGAGGAGGAGGAGGAGGAGGAGAGGAGGAGGAGGAGGAGGAGGAGGAGGAGGAGGAGGAGGAGGAGGAGGAGGAGGAGGAGGAGGAGGAGGAGGAGGAGGAGGAGGAGGAGGAGGAGGAGGAGGAGGAGGAGGAGGAGGAGGAGGAGGAGGAGGAGGGGGAGGAGGAGGAGGAGAAGGAGGGGGAGGAGGAGGAGGAGGAGGAGGAGGACCCACAGCCTCGCGCACGATTTCTCCGCGGGGCAGCAGGAGGCAAACGAGCAAGAGGAGGAGGGAGAGGAGGAAGAAGAGGAGGAGGAAGAGGAGAAGAGGAGGAGCATGATGAGTGCACGCAGGGCCCCCTCAATGTTTGTAGTTGTCTGGCCAGGCTTTGTTTTGTTTGGCTTTCAGCATGGGAAAATCCGATCACACTGAGCGGCGGCCTTCTGTTTCTCCTCTGCCAGCGCCGCGTTGCGCTCCAGCTTCATCTTCACCATCTCGGGCACCACAGCGCCCTCCGCCACGGTGTCCTCTCGGGGCGTCGCCAACAGAGGAAACGGTGCCAGTCAAGTTGTTTTGCCCCGGGCGACCCCCAGTCAAGAACGCGAGGCGTGGCACCCGGGGTGCAACGGCACACTTTGGGCGCCTGGCGGCTGCGGCATGCAGTCGTCAGTCGTCGAAGGCACGCGGCGGGATACCGAGGTAGCGCGCGCACACTGGGCCTGGAGGCCGCGGAGCTCAAACCTGTGAGATGGGGGACATGACTACATATTATTATGTTACTGCGCCCTGAAATCGGCCGAGCGTGTCTCCTGGAGAGATGGTCAGATGAATGACATGGCGCCCCAAATGACGTCCCCCTTTTCCGCACAGCAAGTCCTTGGTGATCAGGTAGCGCTCCGCCATGGTCTCCGCCGCTGATTCTACCGCTCAGCACGCTCGCTCAATGTATCCTGCAGCTGATTGGCTCAAGTCCGGTGTGGCTTGCGCCTGAATGGCTAAGGAATCATATTCCTAACTCTCGATTCCAAGATTGGCATCGATGCCGGTCGTACAACGTAAATATTGCTCCTCTACCCCTTACACGTCTTCCTCGTGCTCCTTGTCCTCGACATCATATCCTCCGCCCTCCCTCATCTCGCCTTCCTTTCTCAAAATGTATCCTTCCACAGTTTATGCAACTTCCCCTACATGCAACCCTTTCTTCATGGTCCCTCCTCCTCCCCATCTTAGCGCTGCTGCCTATCCCCCTACGTTTCATCCATCACCGTCTGTTCATTTTCCTCATCCGTCTCATAATTTCCCTCCATCATTCGCAACATTATTATACCGTCCCCTTATTCCTCATCCACCCTTATTGCCCTCCTCCTCATGCAACTTCTCTTGCCTGTCTCCAATCTGCACCTCCACCTCCCCACATCCTGCTGCATCACCACCACATGATCCTCATCTAGCTCGTCCTCTTCGTCCTTCTCCACCCCACCCACTCCATCATTACCTCCGCCTCCTGCTCAACATGTAATGCATCCGAATCCCACCTCATCGGTTCCCCCTTTTCTTTCCGCACATCCCACATCCTCATACCCAAGATCAGCACATCCCCATCAAGGTACTTAACCGCGCCATCGTCATGTGAAACTCCCTTTTTGAATCCATCCCTCATGTTCCCCCCTCTGCCTCCCTTTGCTACAAATTAACTCCCACGTCCACTACCCTTTCCACAGCGCCTCCCCTCACTACAGCTTCCACCCACATTATCTGCCACCGTGCTTCCTGGCACGTGGAGGCGTGGTAGTCCAGTAAGCTTTCTCTATGATTCTAGGGCCTCCCCCCTCCAGTCACTGAGTGCTGCATGCATCCACCCACCTCCCGAGGACACGATCCCTCGGGAACCGAAAGACCAGCCCCGGATCTCGAGACCACGATCCCTCGTCCCGAGCCTCCACGGTCCGGGCAGGTAACCAAGGCCGCCAAGATGGCCCAAGATGCCTCGAAGACGGCCCAAGGTGGCCCAAGGTGGTCTCAAGACGACCCCAGACGGCCTCCGAGAGGGCCCAAGAGGGCCACAAGAGGCACCCGAACAGGGTCCGAAGCTCACAAGAGACGCTGCAACCCTGCGACCGCGGTGCAGCAAGTCCGACTATCTGATACAATGAAGGCCGTCCGCCGATAGGCAAGCATGAAATTCAAAACCTGGAGCAGCTGCAAGAAGCCCGGCTGAGGCCAGCGACGTCCGCGTCAAAATAAAAGCGCACGGCAAAGCCTGCCGCAGCAGAAGCATACCACGTGGCCCGCGAGGCAATCGCCCAAATTAATACTAGGCCGCTGCACCACAGGACGGACGGCCATCTGGTGAGGAGCTACAAAGACACCAACGACGAGATGACAACGACCACGACGACGCCGCCGCCGCCGACGACGACCAGTGCTGCTGCTACAGCAGCTACATTTCCCTCGTAATCATTCACAGCAGCCCGCAGCCAGTGCTTCCACTGAAGGGGTCCTCACGGATATGGACAAGGTGATGTGTACGTGTGCCGCTGGGTTCAGTGCACGCCCGAGCTCATTGTCTTCCGGTTCTGGGTTCCCAGATTCTGGCGGCGGCCAGGTTCCCAGCACATCGAAGGACCAGCAGAGTTGATGATTGAGGGCCTCGACTATTTATTTGGTGCTGCGTGCAAAAAGCAAAGAGCTTGTAGCAAAGAACGGGAAGGCGAGAGCAGAGTGGAGAGGGGAGTGACGAAACGACACTGTATTCCCGATAGTGCAAAACAAAAAACAGAAAAGACTACATCCATCATCTTTTGCTCATTCCTACTGACAGTTCTTTGACACACGAAAGGGTTTTGGATTTCGCCAATGCAACAGATCTGTGTGTCGACACTCCTCCTCGTTCATCGGATTTGGGATTTCGCCAAAGCAACAGATCGGTGAGTGCAACAGATCTGTGAGTCGGCCGTGCTCGTTCATACCCGTCCCCCTCTTTCTCCTGTCGTCGCTTCCCCATGCACCCATCCACGTGTGATCCATCCTTCCTATGTACCCAGTTCTCCTCTAGCACATCCTCTTCCTCTCCTCGTCATCTCTGCCCCCCTTCTTCTTCGTCCCTCCTCCCCCTCCCCCCCGCGGTCCTGAATCATATCTCGCCGCAGGGGAGGTATGCTTGCCAGCGTGCACTCTGGATGTGCAGGCTAGTAAATGGAAGACAAGTGGTGCAATATGTACGGTGTGAGCTACGTGGTGGAAGCTATGCGGTCCACTCCATGTGGCGCCAGCGATACGGTGCAAGCTGCGTGTGTGGTGCAACCTATGCGATGCAGACTGCTACGAAGACGCGCCCACGAGGCGTCCACGAACGGCGACCAGGCGAAAACTTGGAATAGCCAGCCAGCGCACGGGGAACCCAACGGGCGCACACGGGCGGCCACACACTTGGCGAGAGAAAGGAGACCCGTCAACCACCGCACGATACGCTGACGAGGAGTCCCCACGGGCGGCCACAGCTGGCGACAGGGCGAAACGCCCCGAGTCACCTCCTCCTGCTCCTCCTCCACCTCCGCCACCTCCTCCGCCTCCTCCTCCTCCTCCTCATCCTCCTCCTCCTCCTCCTCCTCCTCCTCCTCCTCCTCCCCCACGAGTAGCCCATGGGCGGCCACCGGGCAACAAAAACGGAAGTGCATGACAATGACTAGGTCGGACATGTCCTCCTATAGGCGGATTTGGGAAGAGAGGGAACACATAATCACACAATGATGAGACAATGTCAGACAAGAGCACGGTTACATCGTCATCTGATGATGTTCTAACTGATCTTAATCCATGGGTGCATGCACTGCTTCGGGGGCGGCTGTCCTGAAACGGAGGCAGCCGCCACCTCGTGGAGCACGGCGCCTGGACGGGGCAGGCAGGCAGGTTGCGATGATTGATAGGGGAATGGCAAGGACAAAAAACGAACAACTGCATAGACATCAACTTTTGGAGCTCCGCGCGGATTTCTTGGATCCGACATGGGTCCCCATGCCGTGTCCTGTGATTCGAAACGAGGTGAACAAAGAGATGGACGAAGAGGAGACGACAACAACGGCAGGCGAAACGATGCAGCATCCCCGCCGGTTCCTTCAACCGCTGCTCGGGCTGGAAGTGGCAGACGAAGAAGTGGGTTGAGAAATTAGATGCAAGGGGTATATTGAGGAAACACAAACAGAAACCTGAGGACGAGAAGTATGAGAGAGATGCAATGCATTGACTGTGCCAAACATACCCACCACCCGCAATGGAGGGCACTGACGCAGATAAGCCGGGTGATAATAGCGACGCAAGTTGCGTTTCCGCAGTGCCGACTTGACCGTCAACTGCTTTTTCGAATGCGGCTAGGACCCATTGCCCACAGCAGCTCGCATGTAAGCCGAGACGTGATTCACACCAGGCGGCGCGTGGACTGCAGCGAAAGCGGGGAGAGGGAGTCGGGAGACAGGGAAGCAGGCGGCAGGGAGAGGGTAGCAACGCGGGGTTTGCGCATATGCTTCAGACCGTGAGGGGCACATCACAGATGCCCCACCCACGACCATACCTCACCCGCCAAGCGAACACCTGCGCAACTTGGGTGGTGCAGGGGACCTACTGCAGATTTCTGGCCCTGAAGCAAAGACCAACTGCACCATCGCGGCTGTGGGGCGATCAGTGGCTGAGCATGTCAAAGACGTCAGCGAGCGTGCACCCCGCGCTAGCAGGGATAGACCAACCTCGCTCAGAGGAATGGCCACCGAGCCATACAGCAGTGCTAGTGTTAGCCGCACCACTAGCAGAAGCAGTAACAACAAGACGCGGTAGCAATACATCTTCGCACAACTGGCCTTCTTCTGGGCTGGCCCGCGTGGCATCCCTGTGGCGTTTAGGGAACCTGCCGTGGTTTGATGGCGTCAGAACGATCTATGTGCAGCTTGCGCTTGCCAGCCCTAGTGATGGAAGCACGGCTTAACATTAAGCACGACCAGCAGCGATTGCAGCCGCATGGGAAGCACGCCTTGCCAACTTAGACTCGTACTGCGACGCGGGGCCAAGCAATCCGCCAGTCCACCACAGAACAATGCACACTGGCTATATATGAGCGTGGGATGTCGCTCAAACACCTCAAAACAAATAGCCTGGCGAAGGACCCAACCATATGCAGTTGTGAGCCGCGCAGTAGCGAATATGGTTTCCGGTGGAGTCTCCTATGCGGCCGCGGACCGTGTGAGGGGTGTGCCAAAGTGGCTGTGGGGGCGGCATGCGGGCGCAGCCATTCTGGCCTTCGGTGGAGCTCCCATGGGGGCCACGAAACGTGCGAGGGGTGTGCCGAAATGAGTGGCGGGGGCGCATGCGAACTGTATCACTGGGACCTTCGGCGAAGCTCCTATGGGGCCCCGAAACGTGTGAGGGGTGTGCCGAAATGAGTGCCCAGGATGCGTGCGAACTGCGCCACTGGGACCTTCGGCGGAGCTCCTGTGGGTGTGCCGAAATGAGTGGCGGGGATGCATGCGAACTGTGCCACTGGGACCTTCGGCAGAGCTCCTATGGGGCCCCGAAACGTGTGAGGGACGTGCCGAAATGAATGGCGGGGACGAATGCGAATTGTGCCACTGGTGCCTTCGGCGGAGCATCTACGGGGCCACGAAACGTATGAGGGATGTGCCGAAATGAGTGGCGGGGACGCATGCAAACTTCGCTGGGACCTTCGGTGGAGCTCTCAATGGGGCCAGCGCCACGAAACGTGTGAGGGGTGTGCCGAAATCTGTATGGAGGCGGCATGCAGGCACAGCCAATGGGGCCTCCGGAGGAGCTCACTATTGGGTCACGAAGCGTGTGAGAGGTGTGCCAAAGTGGCTGTGGGGGCGGCATGCGGGCGCAGCCATTCTGGCCTTCGGTGGGGCTCCCAATTGGGCCGCGAAACGTGTGAGGGGTGTGCCGGAATGGGTGGTGGGGAGGCATGCGGGCGCAGCCACTGGGGCCTTCGGTGGAGCTCCCTATGGGGCCACGAAGAGTGCGAGGGGTGTGCCGAAATCAATGGTGGGGGAGGCATGCGGGCGCAGCCACTGGGGCCTTCGGCTTCGGTGGAGCTCCCTATTGAGCCACGCAACGTGTGAGGGGTGTGCCGAAATCTAGTGGTGAGGGAAGCATGCGGGCGCAGTCACTGGGCATCAGTAGGTCTCCCTATGGGGCCACAGAACGTGTGAAGGACGTGCCGACATGGGTGTGCGGGAAGCATGCGGGCGCAGCCACTGGGTCCTTCGGTTTAGCTTCCTATGGGGCAACTGAACGTTTGAGCGGTGTGCCAAAATTGGTGTGGGGGAGGCATGAAGGAGCAGTCAATGGGGCCTTCGGTGGAACTCCCGATGGGGCCACGAAACGTGTGAGCGTGTGCCGAAGCTGATGACGATGATGGTGATGATGACGCCGAAGTTGGTGAAGATGAGGGTGATGATGACGCCGATGGCCATGATGGTGATGGTTACGATGGTGATGAAGCCGATAATGATGATGGCAATGATGATGATGCTGATGGTGATGATGATGCTGATGCTGATGATGAACATGATGATGGCGACGATAAGGATGACGATCATGATGATGATGATGCTAATACTGATGGTGATGGTGATCAATATGATAAGGCTGATGCTGTTGTTGGTGATGATGAAGATGATGATCGAAATGTCGGTAACGGTGTGATGTCGACAACGATGAGGATGATGGTGATCGTTATGATGATCATGCTGATGAGCATGATGATGATCATCATGATGATGATGTTGGAAAGGGATGGGGAGGAAGGAAGGAGAGAAACGCGCGGCGCTCTCTCTTCAAAACGAGGATCCAACACCACAGGATGGCTGGGACAAACCAGTGACAGTTGAAGTGCCAACATGCGATGTGCCAATGCGCTGGGACCCACTAGGACCTTCAGCCCCATGGTCCATGGAGTCATCGCGGGAGGTATGACCCCAATCTTTACTACAACGCAGCTATGACGGTGATGTGCTGAACAATTTGCGCACGGCTCCTGGCCCAAGCCAGCAAGGCCGTGCTGGACTCCTCTGGACCAATAGAAATGAAAGTCGCACTGGCGGTACGTGTTGTAGCAGCATGTACGAAAAGCAGGAGAACGCCTGTCACATTGCTGACGTAATGGTCGTTGCAGTGGCACCACGAAGAGAGGAGCCAGGGGGGAAAAGGAGGGGCCAGGAGAGGATGAGGAATAGTGGCAGGACGAGGAAGAGAAGCACGGTCAGGGTAGGGGAGGGGGGAGGGGGGGGGAAAGACAGGGCAAGGTCGAATGGGGCGCGGGAAGCCGGGGGGGATGGAAAGGGAAGGGATGAGGGGGGGAGGGGAGGCGGACTGGAGGAGACTCTAATCCCACCAGCCCTTTATAGGGCGTTCCCTCTTCCAACCTCCTTCTCCCCCTTCGGGGAGAGGTGTTTGGGTCTGGGGGGGGGAGCGTGGGCCGTTGGAGCGTCAAAGATGGCCTCGGCGAGGAGGCCCCATTTGGCCCTCCTGGGGGGGACAAATTGATCCCCCCCGTCTTAGATTGATATCCTCCAGGATGGCCCCACGATGGCTCCCGAGGCCCCAAAGAGTGCCCCAAGAGGGGCCTAAGAGACGCCAAGAGCCCTCCAAGAGGACCCCAAGAGGCTCCCGAGAGACCCCAAGAGGCTCCGAGATCCCACCTGAGACACCCAAGGCGCCCCAAGAGGCCCCCGGGACCACCAAGAGGCTCCGAAAGCGCCCCAAGAAGAAGCTCTCAAGAGACATCCAGGAAGACTCAGAGAGGCATCCAAGAGGCTTCTGGCCATGATGCTCGCCCTCCTCCTCCTCCTCCTCCTCCTCCTCCTCCTCCTCCTCCTCCTCATCCGCTTGTTCATCCTCCTCCTCCTCCTCCCCCTCCTCCTCTCTTTTCCTCCTGCCCTTCCCCCTCCCCCTCCCTCCTCCTCCTCCTCCTCCTCGTCCTCCTCCTTCGATTCCTCCTCCATCCTCCCCCTCTTGGGGTATGACGGCTTCCTCAACTCGTTATTTCAATGCATCATCCCTGATCAGGGCAACCTGCCTGGGCATCGTTTCTGGATAGGCTGGTGTGCTTACGTGAAGCGTCTCAAATAATTCATGGTTTACCGCGTATTCTCATTTTGGAGGAGCTTGGAATGGCAGAAATACGTACGATGCCCAGCAGCAGGTGTTTTCCAATCTCGACAGCGGCCGCCGTTGAGCAGGCGCTTGTTTGCCTCAAGCGGACAAAGACCACGGCGATGCAGACAACGAGCCCGTCAAGAACTGGGTCTCCAGCGGCCGTTCGGGGCGATCCGGGCACCGCCGTTCGGGGCGATCGGGGAAAACCCAGAACGCTTCCAGCGAGGTTCAGCTGCTGGAGAGCACCCGGAGCCTGGAAAACCACCAGGAACCGACGACGATGCCCGAGGCCACAAACGCCCCAACTGCTGTCGGACTTCGTCCCCATCCTTTCCGCACCCATCCCATCGATCCGATCTTGTTCCCATCCGACCTTGACCAAATCCGATCCGATCCGACTTTGATCCAATCCGATGTGATCTTGTACCGATCCGCACCCATCTGACCCACGCCGAGGGGGGAAGCAATAAGGAGGCGGGAAGAGACAGCCGGGCGCGGGAGGCGGCGAGCGAAGGCCTCAACGGAACCCGACAACGAAGGGGCCACCGACCTGAGGCCGCTCGCGTCGCACTGTCGCCCCACCGCCCCTAACGTGGCGTCGGCAACCCCCCCCTCCCCCGCCTCCTCCTCATCCTCTGCCACGTCGTCGTCGCCCTCCTTCTCCTGCGCCCCCTCTCCCTCCCTCCCCATCCTCCTCGATGTCGCCGTCGCCCTCCTTCTTCTGCGCCTCCTCTTCCTCCCCTTCCTCCTCCTCGACGTCAGCGTCGCCCTCCTTCTCGTGCGCCTACTCTTGCTCACCCCTGCTCCTCCTCCTCCTCCTCCTCCTACTCCTCCTCTTTCTCCTCCTCCTCCTCCATTTCGTCGTCGCCCTCACTCTCCTGCGCCTCCGTTTCTTCTTCTTCTTCTTCTTCCTCCTCCTCCTCCTCTTCCTCTTCCACTTTCCTCCCTGCTCCTTGTGTTATCTTGCTGCTCCTGCAGGAGAGGAACCCTGTGGCGCGTGGCGCGTGGCGCGTGGCGTGCTCAGTTCGACCCACGAGCCAGCCCAGAGTCGAATGGAGCACGCCTCACGCCAGACCACTCGTCGCACACACTTCCTCCGCTGGAGTACAACACAATTATGAATTCTCGGAAGTCCGCGCGGACATATTGGGTCAGAGCTGTGCCACCCTGGCGGCGCCTCTGGCACCGCCCACGAGGCGCTTGCCGCTTCAGGAAGGGGGTGCCCAGTGCCCAGTGCCGACCCAAGAAATCCGCGCGGACCTCCGCTTGCGCCGGTTGTTGCTCATGGATCCCCCTCCCAAACCATCACCTAACAACGCGGACCCCTGGGGGTCTGAAATCATTTTTGGGACTGGCTTTTCATCCCGAATCGTCTTCTCGCGGTCCCCGGGCCCGGTGAGGGACCCTGAAGGCCGCAAGAGCAAACAACTACCGTGGTGTGTTTTTCTTCTGGAGCGAGGGGTATGGTTTCTACACATCCTTCCTCCTCGGTCCTCCCCCTCCTCCTCATTCCCCTCCTCCTCTTCCTCCTCCTCCTCCTCGTCATCTTCGATCCTCGCTTCTCGATCCTCAATAATTGATCCTCCTTCGTTTCCTCTCCCTTCCCTTCCTCCTCCTCCTCCTTGCCCCCACTCCTCCTGCTCCTCCTCCTCCTCCGCCTCCTCCTCCTCCTCCTTCGCCTCCTCTCCCTCGATCCTCCTTCTACCCCTCGGTCGTCGTCCCTCCTCCCCTCCTCCTCCTCCTCCTCCTCCTCCTTCGCCTCCTTCCCATCGAGCCTCCTCTTCCCCCGTCGATCCCTTTCCCATATCCATCCTCCCCCATCGGTCCTCCTCTTCCCCCTCGATCCTCCTCGGCCCTTTCCCAGATTCATCCTCCCCCATCGGTCCTCCTCCTCCCCCTCGGTCCTCCTCGATCCTTTCCTGTATTCATCATCCGTTTTCCCCTCCTCCTCACCGCAACCACCCACGATGACGCAGGCGGAGGGCCGCACAGCGAAGCCACCCGGAGCGCGAGCTCGCGCGTGGCGCTGCCGCTGCGAGTGGGCCCCTGGTCGTGCGCGCGTGCGGGTCCAGCGTGCAACGGTAGCCCCGGAACTATACAGGGAGGACCCCCCAGTCCTCTCGGGAAAAGGAAAGGGGGGGCAGCGCTCCCAGCGGCGGCTGTGGCGTTTCAGTTTCGCCCCTTCTCCTTGCCTTCTACGATTCGAAAATGGAGGCTTGTGCCTCCAGCGATCCTGGGCAGCTCGAACAGTCATTGTTGTTGGTCCATACTTGTTTGGAACTCTTGACCCCGCATAAAGACGCAGCCAGGACTGGGACAAGACCGAACTGGGACAAGTCCAGGATCTGTGGAATCTGGCGGTCCTGGATGATGTTTCGAGCGCCGCGGCCGTTCCAGAGCGCTCAGGACACTCTGAGGGCGTTCCGGCCACCTCTGGAGCGATTACGCCGGTCCTGGCCCCGCCCGAATGTGGCCGCCAGCATCGGGAAGACCCTGAGACCCTGGCGTCGCGCCTGCTTTCACGTCGGGCAAGATGGCCTGCACTCGTGCCCCGCGAGCACTTCCAAACGGGCCGAGCTGGCCCAGGATCCGCCGCGGAAACGTGAGGTTTGGCCTGGGGCACCGGGCGTGACTGTCCACGATGTTGCCACTGTTCCGCGACAGCAGATCTTGAGGCCACGGTCAACGGTACTCGAGTTCTGCGAACTCGAACTTTCCTGACGGGGGGGAGGAGGAGGAGGAGGAGGAGGAGGAGGAGGAGGAGGAGGAGGAGGAGGAGGAGGAGGAGGCATCAGAATGATGGCGGCCCCAGGTGGTGCGGTCTTCCGAGGAAGATCGCCCCATTTACATCGTGAGCTCCTTCGCGCGGGGGGGAAACACATGCACTCTCCGTGTACCTCTGGGGCCCCAGACCCTCCGTTTACGCATCCCCCTTCCACTTCGCCTCCATTGACGCATCCCCCCTCCATGTGCGTACCCCGCCCAATTGCGAAACGCCCAAGCCCCTCCGGCATGCACGCCCCCCGGGGCGGCCTGGAAGTGGACCCCCCCGACGCCCGCGTGCCCCATGTGCCGGTGGTGGTCGAAGGCGTCCATCTGGGGACGGGGCGGTTCCGCTGCGCCATCGCGCGGGCGGCAGGCTGATCGGGCCTGCCTCTGGAGGCTGGGGGTGTTTCTCGCAGGTGCAGCCGTCGCTGGCGGCGCGCACAAGAAGGTAGAGGGAGGGCGGAAGGCATGTTAGAAGCAGGCCGCTTCTCAGAAGGCGCCGGCCCTGCATCTGCAGACAAGGCCCGCGCCCTATGGCCCCCTCTGCGCGTGGCCGACATCGTGCCACCACAACGGGCGCCGACTGCGGAACCAAGGGGCCTTTCTGGCCCCAGCCAGCCTCGGTCACCACCAGGCCCCCCCGACCCAGCTGTCAGGGGCGGCTCGAGGAGGGGAGCCCTTCCGCCATGGACCCCTGCGGGGAACACACGAGCGCACCCGCGGCCAGGCCCGCAAAGATGCACCTGTCGACGGCCCAGAATGAAGGGGCCCTAGGACACACAAAAATAAATTCAGGCAACTAAAAAGATCCCCCATATTTTCCCATGTTTTCTGGGTTTATGTCTTCCCCCCCACTTCCCATCTTTCCCAATGTTTTCCTGGGGATCGACGATTAATTTTGTCTGTGTGTTTTTTCCCCTCTTGACAGAATTGCCACTGCTCCACCAGCGTCCCCCTGGTGCCCGGGCCCTCGCGGTTCTGGGGCAAGCGTAGCCGACATGGCGCGCAGCGCCGCGCCCGAGAAGATCGGCCACTGCGCTCTGCAAGCCCGTCCCGCGCCACTGCCCCAGAGTGGTCCCACGTCCCGCCGGCGCGCGGACAGGCTGCGCTAAGCTCGGGCGCGTCACCCTCCGGGCGGATTTTGGACGAAGAACTGAACAGAGTCGAAGAACCAAAACTGGCCCAAAATGATAGAAAATAAAGCATCGTCCCCAGACTTTTCGTTGACGATTCTTGGCTATCCCTCCTGTAGAGGCACGTGCCCCACTCGAGGCCGCGCTGCTCCTGGGAGCCCCGCCTTTGTCGCCGGCGGCCACGTGGCGGGCCTCGCGCGGCTGCTGCGCACAGCGGGGCCGGCTGCGCGCCGCACCGCGCCGCCTCCCGAGGCGCCGCGACTCGGGGATAACGGAAAGAGCGAGGCACGAGTGATGGTGTTGTGTTTGGGCGAAGCCCTCCAGGGGGAGTACAGAGGGGGGGAGGGGCGGAGGGATGGGACCTGATGGCCGCTCGGGGCGTCTCGGAGGCATCTTGGGCGCTTCTTGGGCCGTCTCCGGCGTTCAAGACGGTCCAAGAAAGGATTTCCTGGCCCGGGCCAACCCAAACTGAGGATTCTCTCAGGGTGGAAGGCTCAGGGTGCAATCCATATGGGCTTTTGCACCTCGGAATCGATCCGTCTCGTGATCTGATGCACCCTTTGCAGAGTCAAGCCTCGACCATCCATCGAAGCGGCAATTCGGATTCCACCCTTTTCCTCCCTCCCCCCAAAAACATTGCTCGGTTAACCCAGGCCCGGGTCAGCCGGGAACTTTGGAGGAGATCCTGCAAGACCCCTGCGGGATCCTGCGCCCAAGCCAGTGCACTGCTGGCTTGAGGTAGGGCCTGTCCCCCTACAGGGGGATCTTGAGCGAAGAATGACAAATACCCCAAACATAACCCCAAAAAACAAACAATAGTTCCAAAAAACGTGCCTTGACTATTTTCGGCTATTTTTTGAATCTTCTCCCTGTAGAGGGACAGGCCCGCTTTAACCCTGGCCCTGCAGGATCCTGCAAGCTCCGGCGCTCCGACTGGCCCCCGTTTGCACGGGCTCCCGTCGCAGGGCCCCCGACCGACCAGGGTGGCCCTCCGCGCCGGGCATCGACGACCGCGCCCGCCGCCCGCTGCTGCTCGCGTCCAGTCCTCCGAGGGCCCCCTTCAGGGCGAGAGGCCAGGGCAGCGTCGGGTAGCGGCGGGGCACGGTCGTGGAGCGGGGGGAGCGGGGGGCACGGATGCGAGAACGATCGGCGGTGCGAGCATGTGAACGCTTTCTTACTCCTCCTCCTTTCCCTCCTCCTCCTCCTCCTCCTCGTCCTCCTCCTCCTCTTCGACATTGGGCGAAAGGGGGGGGGGAGGGGGGAGGGGGGGGAGGCTCCATCTGCTCGAGACAGGCGCCCAGAACAGCAGAGATCTACTCCATATGGGGGGAGGGGGGAGGGGGGGTGCGAGGGCTCGCGCCGATCGGCAAAACAGCGAATGAGAAAGCTGTCACATGGCGCTCCTGCTGGACCCTGCCCTCAGTCAGCTCTCGGGGACAGACCGCGCAGATCTTCCAACGTTGCTTCTCTCGACTGCAGCTTTCCCCTCCCTTGCCCCATCAGGCCCCAATCGACGGATCCCCCAGCCCGCAGGAGGGGGGGGAAGTCATGGTGCATCTTCGGGGGGCCTCGTCTGCACCGTCGCGTCGCTGTTCGCGTCGAGCCCGCGTCGGATCCACAAATCCGCGTCGAACCCGAGTCAGACAGATAAGAGCACAATCTACAGGACTGGCAATGTCCTCCCAAGATGCAAAGCAGGACAGGGCGAGGCAGGGGCAAGAGGAATGATGCAGGAGGACGAGGGGGGACGGAGGAGGGCACAATGAAGGACGAGCGATCCAGCGGTCGAGCGTTAAATCAGAGTATGCAAATCGACCATCTGGGCTTACATGGAGTTCGCATACACTACTGACCAGCACTTGGTCGATAAAAAATGCCACACACAATCAAATCCTCCGATGCCGAATTGCGTAGGAGTGGCTGGCAAGACAAATCTCTGGACCTGTGTATCGACCCGCTCAGACTCCACAACAGTTCAGACAAAACTATCATCACTTCTGACTGTTCTGGGTTGTGTAGCTTTCAGGCATGTCTTTCCAGGTGCCATAGGTTCGGTGAGCCTCCGTTACGGCAGGGAAGGGAATCAAGTGAAATGGCACCAATTCTCCGCTGAGAACTCCCAGGCAACGCAATCAAACGCCGACGGAAGTTTGCTACCCTGACCAGAGGCTGGACAGGCAAGGAGAAGCCGGGATGCACGTCGCGGACAGCGACGGGGCGCCAAGCTGGCCTTGTCGGGATGGGGCGAGGACACGTTCTCTCATCAACTCCCTCGCAGGGCACCGTGGGGGGCACATTGGGTGCGACTGCTACGGAGTACACGTCGTTCACTTCTAATCGTGCTCGCTTCTGATTGTGCTCGCTTCTGATTGTTCCTGGCCCCTGGTGGCCAGGAAGAGGCCCAGGAGAGAACACTTAGAAATGAAAGGCATCTTGGCCCCCCAGAAAACTCAAAGAACCCTCGAACTAGAAACGAACAATATGTAGCTGGGCGAGGGACCCGGAGCCTGGCAGAGGCCAGCAGTCCCAAGCGATGCCCCGTACCGCAGGTGGCCCCGTGGCCCGTGGGACACCGCCAAGACCGCCCCCTGCTGCAAGTCCCTCCTCCTCCTCCTCCTCCTCCTCCTCCTCCTCCGTCTCCTCTGGCAGTGCCTCGCCCTCCTCCTTCCCCTCCTCCTCCACCGAGCGACACAAGGAGAGCGGCAGTGGAGTCTCGCTGAACCGATCCCCATCCCAAGCGGCGTGGCCTGGACCCCACTGGCCGATTCACCCCCCCCTGGACGGGGATACAGGTCGTGCCCTTCGGGTTTCGAGTGGTGCATCCCCAACTGGGGGGGGGGTACTTTGGTGGGGGCCTCGAAGGGGATGGGGACGGGGATGGGGATCGCTTAAACGATACTGAGGCAGCGGAGAGGAGAAGTGGCAAGGCGCGCAACCCCGTCCTCGTGGTGTGCACGGACATCTCGACTGGGTGGAGCTCCCCTGACGTGCAGAACAGGAAGAGCCAGGTGGAGGGATGGATGGAAGACGCGGGCCACCCAAACGGCATGCTTGATCGCACCGGAGGCGACAAAAGAGCACCAAAGCATCGATGGCGGCCAGCAGTGCCCTGTACCACACAACGCGTCAACGCAACATGAGACTGCATGGCTCTCTCGCCTGGTAGGTCAGCTGGGCACGGCAATATACTGTCATGCTGAAACAAGCCACTGGAACCAATGCCGCACCTTGCCATCGCTCGGACGTCCATTCGCCGTGCATGTTTCGGTTATGCGCGGTGTCTGTTGCCAGACGATCCAGGATGCTCCTCGATGGTCCTCGCCGAGAACATAACGCACACGTCATGCCAAGGCACTTGCGGCAGTAGGGACATCACTCTGCACGAGCCGGCCGAGGAGACGCAGCCCGCGCGGCGGGCCCGAAGCGGTCTGCCCGTGGCTTCTCCGCGGAGGAGGCGTTGAGCAGGCGCTGCACCTCCTCGGGCCAAGGCTCGGCAACGGCAGCGCGGCGAATTCGGCAGATCGAGGCGACGCCGAACTCGCTGGCACGGAAAGGAGGCCGCCCAGAGTGCCCCGGCTCGTGGACGCGCCGCGTCCAACCAAGGACGCGCGCGCGGAGGGGGGCACGGAGGAGGAAGCAAGAGGGATGGGGGCGCAAAAACTAGAGAGCGGAGGAGCATGACAGTAACAACGAGAGAGACAGAGAGAGAGAGAGAGAGAGAACAAGAAATCCACTCGACCAAGATAGCAAAGATGCGCGGTAAGGATGCAAGGGCCTTGGAACGCCGTGTTGACGTTTTCTGTGCGGAGCGCAGCAGAATGCCGAAGGATGCCGAATACCGAAGGGGCAAGGATGCAAGGGTAGCCTTGGGAAGTTGCCCCATCCTTCCTATATCATGGTTAACTGTACGACGCGCAAAGAGAGCGAGAGGGAAGAATCAAACACATGAGAAAAAGGCGAGGTCTGCACAGAGGAGACGACCCTGACTCCGGATCCGCCCAACTTTGGGGAAATTCGTAAGTAGGGCTTGGAATTTCTGCCTTACTTTTCGAGCCCCGCTGATGCCAATTTCCGCCCTACTTTTCTGTTGCTGTTTCCGCCCTATTTCTGCGGATGTCCGCCCTACTTTATGTTGGGTGCAGAAATCCCCGCCCTACTTATTCGGCTTCTTATAGGTGGATTTCCGACGCAATTTTAAGTTGGGGGAAAAGCCAAAGTAGGGCGGATCTGGAGTCAGGGGAAGCCCAGAAAAGGGGGAGGAGGAGGAGGCGGAGGGAGGAGCTCAGGCGCCGCCCGCGAGCCAGGCGCTGCCCGCGGGGCACGCCGCCGCGCAAAGAGCGGCCACAGTTCGAACCTCTCCTGGGTGCCGTGTGGCCCCGAGCCCGCCCGCCCTCCCGCGCGCCCTATGGGTCGCGAGGCACAGGACACAAGGACACCATTGAGCTGGCAGGGTCGACCTACTGATCCGGGCCGACTGCACTCCGCCTTCCTCCAGCTTCTCCTCCCCGTCCGCGGCTCCCGCGAGCGGCACCCCTGAAACAGACATCTACGGGCACAGAGCTCGGATGCGGGTCAAACCCGTGTCGGGTACAAAACGAGGCCGAACGTTGCAGGACAGACATGGCTCCCAAGAGGTGCACCATGATAAGAGGACCTTCGAGAGACACCGGCGCAGGAGAAGGCGACGGAGGAAGAGGGAGTGGGGAGCTAGAGGGAGGGGAATGAGGAAGACATGGAAGAGCACCTGAACACACAGCCCAGCCTGGCACGCCTGAGCCTCAGAAGAACCCTAAACTGGAACGCGCCAGCGAGCAACTACGAGTGACGGAGGCCTTTCGCGCTATGGAAGATCAATCAGCATCGAACTGGGAAATCGGCTCGAATCGGAACGTCCGTCGGATCCGGCGGCATCGGCAAGGAGTTGGAACCAGATCGGCCCTGGATGCTCACCAGCGAAATACGAGCATCGGGCAGATCCGGATCGTGGGAAAACCTGAAACATGAGTCGGATCGGATCGAGCTGGCCGAGGGCGAGGGGGGGGTAACAATCGCTGACCTTCCCCAGGACCCCCCATCGCTGCGGAAAAATCGCGACGAGGGAGGTCCTTGCCCAGCGGAGGCCTAAAGAGCCCCTCGCTGGGCCGCATCGGAGCGTCAGAGCGTCGGCATCGAATCGGATCGAGCTGGCCAGACCCGATACAGTCGAACCTAGGCCAGCAGAGCGCATCCAACAAGCACATGGGGCCCTCCGCCAGCCAGGACACGCAGAACATCGAAGGGAAAGCTCCCCGAGGATGCACAAGAGCATCCGACAAACACCCTCGCCCTCTTCTCCCTCCTCTCCTCCTCCTCCTCCTCCTCCTACTCCTCCTCCTCCTCCTCCTCCTCCTCTCCTCCTCCTCCTCCTCCTCCTCCTCCTCCTCCTCCTCCTCCTCCTCCTCCTCCTCCTCCTCCTCCTCCCCCTCGCGGCCCCAGCAGCCCAAGCAGGTCGGACGCGACCGCAAGGGCAGGCCCTCAGAGGCCGCCCCGCCGCCCTCCCAGAAGGAGGGAGGAGGAGGAGGAGGAGGAGGAGAGGAGGAGGAGGAGGAGGCGAAGGAGGCGGACGAGGAGGAGGAGGAGGAGGAGGAGGAGGCGGAGGAGGAGGAGGAGGAGGAGGAGGAAGAGGAGTGGGAGGAGGCGGAGGAGGCGGAGGAGGAGGAGGAGAGTGAGGGCCTGCGCGCTGCCCCCGAGCTTGGGGTCTTCTTCCGGGGGAGGTGGGGCGCGTAACGGTCACGCTGGGGCGGGGTGGGGCACGTCGCGGAGGGGAGGGGGTGCGCTGCGATCGCCAGACGACGCGCGTATGCGCCAGCATGTGGGGATGTCCCGGCCCCTCCCCCGACCCAAGACCACCGACGTCATACAAGTTTCACGGCGTGGACCCCCAGCTGTCTGGGCCCATTCCCGGGTCCATTCCCCATATCCTAAGGGAACGTTCTTGTTATTGCTTAGACGGCTTCGGGAACCTCTTCCTCAGCTCCTCCGCGTCATCCTCTTCCTCACTCTGAATTGCTCAAGCGTTCTCTTACTAGCTCATACTCATACTCGCTCAGAGTCAGACCCACTGGTACACGCATATTCTGACTCACGCACGCTTTGGACTCACTCACGCTGAGACTCACTCGCCCTCAGACTCACTCACACTTAAACTCACTCATACCCAGGGCACTTATTCTCAGACCCCTCACTTTTAGGCTCACTCATTATGAGACCCATTCATAGACACTCACACTCAGACTCACGCTCGCTCAGATCTCACACACGACCACTCTGGCTCCTCGGACTCACAGGCTCTGTTCGCACTCTGAAAGGAGGGCGCCAGGAGTCAGACCATTCCCAGATTCGCGCCCAGATTGCGGGGATGTCTCAGGCGGTGTGCCCTTTTGCGTGCTCAACATCCTGTGCTTTCGGAGCAGATTTGAGGATGTCGCAAGCGAGGCGCTGGTTTCTTCACTCCCAAAAGGGGGAACGCCAAGGGGGGTATGGGACGGGCCCCTGCTCGCACAGAATGTGGGGATATCTCAAACGGTTTGCCTGTGTGGCGTGCTCAAAACATGATGCTTTCGAGGCCAGGCGCTGGCCTCAGCACCCTCAAGGAGGGGCGCCATGGGGTATGACACTCGCCCGTTCGCGACCAGATTATGGGGATGTCTCAGGCGGTTTGCCTGTTTCGGTCCTCCAGGCTTGTCTTTGGTCTTGTGTTACCTAGGCGCCCCTGGACCTCTCTTTGTCATTCTCCTCCCCCTCTTCTTCCTCAATCAAGCGCATTCGCAATCAGATTTACTCATGAGCACTTCTTCCTCACTCAAACTCACTCAAACTCACTCATCACACCCGGACTCAACCGTACTCAAACTGACGCATACCCAGAACCGCTCATACCTAGACCCGGTCACATTCACACCCCCTCACACACATTCCCCCTTTTTTTACCAACAAAAAAAACAAAACACACACCGAGACGTACTCGCACTCTGATTCACTCACCGCCAGAGCCACTTCTGATCAAACTCACTCGTACCAAGACTCGCTCATGCCCATGAAGCCCCTTCTCAGACTCACTCAGATTCAGACTCAGTCACACTCAGACTCACTCACACTCAGACGCACATACCCTCAAATCCACTCGTAGTCAGACACACTCGTATTCATACCCGCTCAGACTCAAAGTCACACTCACCAAATCATTCGCGGACCCATTCGCACTCATATTTACCCACACTCAGACTCACTCTCGCTCAAATCCACTCATACTAAGAAATACGCAAATTCAGACTCGTTCGTACTCATACCTAGGCGTACTCACACACACTCAAAAACACCCAGGTCCCATCACACTCAGACTCACTCACAATCAGACCACCCACTCTCAGATTCAATCAGTCTTGTCTCTTTTGGTGGTCCAACGCTCCCTCGCTCTTCCACTTGTGCTTCCCTCGTCTCATCTGAAACATGCCCAGAAGATGAGGACGTCACTGAAGTCGTCGCTGGCGCCGTCGTCGTTGTCGCGCCCGTCGTCCACGCTGACTCGCTCTCACGCCCAGATGCTCACGGACACAGCTCCTCAGCAAGGCGTGACAGGAGTACGACATGCTCAAATGAGGATCCCCGCGTCGAGTAATCATCCCGAATCCTTTTTTTTCACAACTCCGAAGGCTCAAGGAAGGGACAATCGCGAAAAAACTTCCGTCATGATCTTGGTCATGACTCGGGGGGATCTGGGACGTACGATCGTCTCCGTTACCCGGGGAGGGGGGGGGGGGGCGGGAAACGACCATTACGCGCCAGTGGATTGCAAAAGTAGCTCCGTCGCCCAAAGCTGCAGGCGCTCAGCGCGCAACGCGGGCGCCCGGGCGTGATCTCGACCGCCTGGCGCCGCCTCTGGCGGCGCCCCTGGGGTGAGGTCGGGCATGTCCCCCCACAATCGGATTTTGGACGATATATATATATATATATAGAAATGTAAGTATGTATGCATATACATATACATATACATATACATATACATATACATATACATATACATATATATATATATATATATATATATATATATATATAAGTGCCCCCACACATGCTCGAACAGTCTCAAAGCATGCTAAAAACATCGTCCCCGAGCACGTCTTCTTTATAAAAAAAGATTCTGCTGTGGAGTCTTCCTCCCGCAGAGGGACCCGCCCGACTCCACCCTGGGGCGCTCCGCGCCACGGGTTTTTGGGAGCGCAACGAGGCCGCCGCGGACTGCTCGGCGGGCCTGCCGGGGCCAGCCTCGGGCTGCGAGGCGGAGGCCAGGGGCCAGGCCGAGGCCGAGGTCGGGCACGTCCCCCTACAGGCGGATGTTGGACGACGAAAGAACAATTCGAAAGCTGGGCGAAGGCTTCTAAAACCGTGGCTGCTAAAACGGCCCTCCCGGAAGGAAAACACAACTTCCCGGAATGAGGCGCGGCACGCGAAACAGTCAACGGGCTTCTTCCCGGAAGGACGAAGACAACTTCCCGGAGGTCGATTTTAGCAGCCACGGATTTAGCAGCCCTTGCCCGGCTTCCGAACAATACCCAAAGCATACCCCAAACTATTCCAAAGATGTCAAGTCCGTTCTCCAACAATGTTCAAACATACTCCAAACAATACACCAAAAACATATTCCACAAGTTTTCAAACATTGACGAAAAGCCGTCCCCGGACTCTGTTTTCACTACGTTTGAAGATTCCTCCCGTAGAAGGACAGGCCCAGCTTGAGACGAGGCTGAAAGCGGTCGAGGAGCAGTCGAGAATCTCTGAGAGACGGCGGCTCCGGAGGATGTCTTTCGGGCGCCGCGGCCTGCTCCGAGCTATCTGGAACGCTCGAGAGCGCTCCTGGGCGCTGGGGCGGCCTTCTCGGAAACGGCGGAGACATCGATTCTTCGGTGTTGTGGCAAATTTGTTCATCACGGGTTCGGTTCGTTTTCGCTTTCGCTGTCTTAACTAACCAACTTTCGGGCCGCCACGGTCGTCGTTCGCTTTGCCAGCTGAAATGCTTGGGGGAGGCCTCTTCGTTTTCAGTTTCGTTCTCTCGTGTCGCCGGGAGAATATCCTCGTTCCCGCCCCGTTCGTCGGGGATCTCCTGACCCGGGTCAATCCAGACCCGGGTCAGCAGGAAACCAAAAACTGCAATGCAGGAAAAAAACTGTAACGCAGGTCTTCGCAAACCTGGGTCAGCCAATATGCGCGGCCGCCTCGCGGCAACGAGCGGCTCGCTGACCCGGGTCAGCCAGAGGGGGTCTTCGCAAGATCCTGCAGGATCCGGTGCCCTGGCATGGCTGACCCCCGTTTGCATTGAGCCCCGTCTCTTGAGCCCCGAGTGTGTGAAAGAGGCGCCTTTCCGCTCGAATCTTCGTCGCCATCGCCGCTCCCTCCCTCTCCTGGGGCCCTCCTCCTCCGCAAGCGGCCCAGCCAGGCGAACATCGAAAGGCGTCGCGTTGCATGGCTGCTCCCCCGTTTGCACTGACCCCCGTCTCTTGAGCCGCGAGTCCGCCTGTCGAGGCCAGCTCCGGGCCCGTGGAGGGCCACCTCGAGGCCAGCTGCCTGCGCACAGGCCGCGGCCCCTGCCGCCCTCCCAGCTCCGCCCCGCGAGGCCGCGCCCGGCCGCCGCCCGCGAGAATTCGGGGGGGAGGAGGAAGGAGGAGGAGGAGGAGGAGGAGGAGGAGGAGGAGGAGGAGGAGGAGGAGGAGGAGGAGGAGGAGGAGGAGGAGGAGGAGGAGGAGGAGGAGGAGGAGGAGGAGGAGGAGGGAGGAGGAGGAGGAGGAGGAGGAGGAGGAGGAGGAGGGAGGAGGAGGAGGAGGAGGAGGGAGGAGGAGGAGGAGGAGGAGGAGGAGGAGGAGGAGGAGGAGGAGGAGGAGAAGGAGGAGGAGGAGGCGGCGGAGGCAGCGGCGGCGGCCGCGGGGGGACCCGCGGTTCGGCGCCGAGGGCGCCGCCTTCTCGGGCCGCGGCCGTCGCCTCCACAGCAACTCTGGCGCCCGCGGGCGGCTGCCGCGCGGCTGCGCGGGGGCAGCCCTTCACGGCGGCGAGCGAGGGGGGGGGGGGAAAGTGAGAAGAAGAAGGCCTTCTCGGAAGGTGGCCGGCCTTCTCGGAAGCCCTCGCGCCTTCTGAAAAATGTCATGCGTCTTCGGGGGAGGCTCAGAACAGTTCTCGGAAGGCCGGGGGGTCTCCGAGCCTTCTGAGCAGGCTTCCTCATTCTCACTTCCCCGCCGGGCCCGCCGCGGACTTCCGCGCGCTGCGTCGCGGGAGAGTCCCGCGGCCGAGCAAACAGGCGGCATGCGCGGTCAGGAGCGCCCCGCGCGAGGCTTCCACGGCTCCTTCAGTGCAGGACGGCTCCCTCTTTGAGGTCGGGCTCGTTTCGTGCCCCGCCGCGGCGATTGGCCCGCGGCGCGGATCGACCCAACGGCGCCGCCCGTCCGTCTCCCGTGGCATCGGTGCGCCGCGGCAGCAAGCGACCGTTGCCAGTGGTGCGGATCTGTAGCCCAGCCCAGCTGGAGGAGGAGGATCAGGAGGAGCACGCTGGGAGAAAAGAAGATGAAGCAGATGACAGACAAGGAGGGAGGAAGGAGTACGTCAACAGCTGTTGTGGTCGACAAGTCCAAGAGGACATCGCCGCTCGAGGTACACGAAGCCAACGCGCTCAAAAACAATCAAGTGATGCGTCCCTTATAAAAACTGTCTTTCATTCAGGCGATACCACACACGACACGCCCATGCTCAGAATTCCCCGTCTGGCCAAGTAGCCAAGTACACAACTACCCCCCCCATCCTCCCCTTCTCTCTCTGTAACAGAGCACGGGCTCTCCTTCTGCAGCCACTCAGCCTCTCTGACGAGCAGACCATCGCCGAATATGTGGTCCTGCGGCAGCGCGAACTAAGAGCACAGTGTTGCTTCAGGGTAAAAGTATTATATTTCTGGCACGAGATGCAGCCACCAAAGGGAATGATCCCCCTTGTCCTCCTCCTCCTCCTCCTCCACTCCTCCTCCTCCACCTCCTTCTCCTCCTCCTCCCCATGCTTTGCCTCTCCACCCAGCATCCCCATCGCTGGCCTCCACCTCGGTCTTGCTATCCCGTTCGCTTGTTCTCTTCCTGATCATCACCCCATCATGTACGGAGGATATGGCGACCCCAACTACAAAGGGTGTTTGACTTCAAACTGCAACAAAAGAATGAGGGCCAAGCTCCAGAATGTAGAATTGGGGTGCGTCCATCCTCGACAGAGGTGCGTGGTGCAACGTGTGTCGCATAAGCTATGTGGTGACCTCTGTGTCATACAGCCTGTGCAGTGCAGGCTTCGCTGCGTGCTGTACGTGGGCAAACTGTGTGGTGCAAGCTATGCGAAGCAAGCTGCGTCTGTAGAGCAATCGATGTGTTGCAGGCAGTGTTTTATAACAAAAAAAAAAAAAAAAAAAAAAAAAAAAAACTGCACTGGGCACCCACCCACCCAGCGCGCCAGGCGCCCACGGGCAGCCCCCGGCCGGCACCAGGCGAACCCCCCGGCGGAACCACCACGCGGGCGGTGCGCACACGAGGCGCCCAAGGGGCGGGTACGAACTGGGGACCCCGCAGATCCCCGACACACCAACCGAGGTACTGAAGAGAGCGAGTAGGACCCCCCCTCCTGGGGAAGCGCTCTGTGGGAATCCTTGCCAACGTTGGCTCCACACAGCGTAAGGTATGCGGTGCAAGCGACTTGATGTAAACGATATGGTTCAACGTGTGTTGTGCAAGCTTCGGAATGCAAGCGATGCCGTGCTCGCTATGTGGCGTAGGCTCTGTCGTGCAAGCTATGAGGTGCCAGATGTGTGGCATACGCAATGTGGTGTACGCTAGGCGGCGAAAGCCACATGGCGCATGCTTGGTGTAGGCCATTCGGCGCAAGCTGTGGCGCCATCGATGATGTTCAAGTTGCTTGGTGTCAAGAGGTTGACCCATGGTGCAGTGATCAGAAGCTGTGTGGTACAACCTGTGTGGTGCACGCTGCGTGGTGCATTGCAATCGGCCGCCCACGGGGCGTCTACGAGGCGCACAAGGGTCGGCGGTGGACAAACCTCCCTCTAGTAAACCTCCCCCCAGTCAAAACGGCCTGCGGCCGAAACCCGCGGACCTGGACCCGCAAAAATGACGGCCGCGACGCCCTCTCGCGAACCGAAGACGGCCAATTCACTAATCGACGTGTCAGGGTAGGAGGTCTGTCCACCCTCGAAAGGGCGGGCGCCAGGCGAAACCCTCGCGGACTTGCCAAGGGCGCCCGGCGCGCGGCCAAGGGCGGGCACCGGGCGAAGCCCCGGCGGACCCACCCAGCGCACCGGGGCGCCCGCGAGGCGCCCAAAAGGGCGGCCACCAGCCGGGCACCAGTGGAAACCCCGGAGGGCCCGCCCGATCATTATTTCCTGAGAGGGCCCACGAGCACACAAATAGATGCACACGAATGACAGGAACCTCCCTATGTTTCCACATGTTCGGGTTTTTTCTGTCTTCCCCCCCCCCGCTCCCCACAATTATCTTCCCATCATTTTTTGGGGAATCGACGATTCACTGTGCCTGTGTTTTTTTTGTCCCCTCCTGAGATCTGGCCAGGAACAAGCAGCAAAGCGCAGCACAGCGATTGGGGAAGGCACGGCCAGCAACAGACGGGCAGTGCCGCCCGCCGCGGGGGGGCCACGAGGCGCCCACGGCAGCGCACGCGGCGAGGCTCTGGACGACCCAGCCGATCTCTGGCCATCGCTGGGACGTCCATTCCCCGTGCTTTTCTTTTCGGTCTCGCGCGTGCTTGTTTGAAGGGGCCCCAGGACACACAAATAAATACACACAAATAAAAAGATTCCCAATATTTTCCCATACTGTCTCTGTGTCTGTCTTCCCCCCCACTTCCCATATTTCCCCATATTTTCTGAGGAATCGAAGATTAATTGTGTCTGTGTGTTTTTGGTCCTCTCCTGATTGTTCCGCCAAGTGATCAAGGATGCTCCTCGAGTGTCCTCGCCGACGGAAAAAATGCACACGTCCGAGCGGTGCCAAGAGGTCCTTACCGCGCAGGCACGAGCCCACAACTGCGCGCATCGCCCGGGGGGAACACCTGCGCGCGGGCCTGCACTCGCGACGTCGGCGCTAGTCTCGGGAACGCTGGCGGGGAACGCGAGGGTGTGTGGGGCCCCCCTCTGGGGCCCCGGCTGCGGCCGAAGCAGGCGCGCTCCCGCGAGAAGCAGTCGGCCGCAGATTCGGCCGCGACTGCCAGCATCCAATGGCCATCGCTCGGACGTCCATTCCCTGTGCTTTTTACGGCTTCGTGCGTGGCTTTTTTCCGCCAAATTATCAAGGTTGCTCCTCGATGGCCCTCGCCGAGAAAAAAAACGCACACGTCCGAGCGGTGCCAGGTCCATCTGCAAGCAGTCCACCGCACCTTTGCGGCCAGCGCCCGGGCACACGCGACGCCAAACACGAAAATACGAAGAGAACGGGGCATACACTGAACGAGACGCGCCGCCCTGTGTGGGGCGGGGCGCGGGGCCTCGGCGACAAGGGGCGCGGGGTCCTGCACGCCGTGCTCGAAGACGAGCTGGCAGGAGTCCCCGTTGCACGCGCGGACCGGGACGCCCTGCCCTCCCCCCGGAGCGCTTCCCGCGGAAGCCCGCTCGGGGCAGCGGCCGCTTTTCTAGGGGAACGACCAATGACATAAGCATAAAAGCTCGGAGGTCCGCGCAGGTTTCTCGGATCGGCGCTGGAGCCCCCGTGGCGGCGCCTCCGGCGCCGCCCCTGGCGCGCTCCGCGCGCCAGGGAGGGGGGTCCAGCGCGGAGTCAAGAAATCCGCGAGGACCTCTGCGTTTTCATGTTGATGTAATGTTTCGTTCCCCTACTTTCGCTCATGCATCAAGAACCAGGTCACGTTAAATCGGGCCTGCCCCCCTACAGGGTGATTTCGGAGGAAAAATGAAAGCCAACCCAAGAAAAATCAAACAGCCAAAACTAGTCAAACAATAGTCCCCTGACTACTCTTTGACAATCTTTGAATAGTCCTCCTGTGGAGGGACAGGCCCGGCTTAAAGGTAGCGCGTGGAGCCTCGCGGCGGCGCCCCCTGTTCTCCCGCCAGGGGGGCCCGCGGCCCTGGGTTCTGCGCCTCGGCGCCCCCACACCGAAGGAAGGGCAGAGGGAACGGAGCGGGGACGGAAAGAACAGAAAAGGAAGACACAACAGAGACAGGAGCAGACATCGAGAGAGAGGAGGAAAGAAGCGACCATCATACATACAGACACACACATACACTTGTATGTATGTATGTATGCATGCATGTATGTATGTATGCATGTATGTGTGTACGTGGGTATGTGTGTATGTGTGTATGTCTGTATGTGTGTGTGTATATATGTATGTATGCATGCATGTATGTATGTATGTGTGTATGTATGTATGGCTGTATGGTTGTATGTATGGTTGTTTGTATACGTTTCTGTATGCACGTATGTACGATGTATGTATGTATGAATGTACGTATGTATGTATGTATGTACGTATGTATGCATGCATGTATGTGTGTATGTATGTATGCATGTATGTACGTATGCATGCATGCATGTATGTATGTATGGATGTATGCATATAGTTATGCATGCATGCATGTATGTATATGTGTATGTATGTCTGATTGTATGCATGCATGCATGCATACATGCATGCATGTATGTATGCATGTATGTATGTGGGTATGTATGTATGTATGTATGTTTGTATGTCTGTATGTATGCATGTGTGTATGTATGTTTGTATGTATGTATGTATGTAAGTATGTATGTATGTATATACGTATGTATGGTTGTTTATATGTATGTCTGTATGTGTATGCATGCATGCACGCACGCATGCATGCATGCATGCATGGTTGTATGCACATCTATGCAAATACATGTGTGTGTGTGTGAAGAGCAGAGTGTGGCATACAGGGGAAGGAGGCTGGGCCCGTGTATAGTGAGCCATTTGATCCACGACATCGGCGGTGGCGAAGGGAGAAGGGAATGAGAAATTGATCGACAACAAGACAAGAAGGGGGAGGAGGCGGAGGAGGAGGAAGAGGCAAGGCGACGCAAGCGCGCGGCAGCGCCGGGGGCAAGGCCCTCGTTGGCTTGCCAAGGGAGCGGGGGGGGATGGCGGCGGATCCCTCAGTGCATGTTGTCCGTGTTTGCTGAACGGGCGGACGCTGGAGGTCGGAGTGTAGAATTCTGAGCTGGTGGACGCTGGAGGACGAGGGAGGAGGGACGATGGATGGACGACGGGCGAAGCGTGAGCATGGACGAAGTGGGTCAATGTAAAACCACCTGTGCCGCGGGCGAGGGCGCGCCTGCGCAGGGGAAGGCACCCTCGAGGGTGGAGAGGACGAGGAGGGCGGGGAGGAGGCAGAGCCGGAGGGACACAGGGAAGGATGTGAGGAGGGGTGATGACGATGATGATGACGATGGCGGTGGTGATGATGATGATGATGATGAGGAGGAGGAGGAGGAGGAGGGGGAGGAGGGAGAGGGGGAGGAGGGGGAGGAGGAGGAGGAGGAGGAGGGGGAGGAGGAGGAGGGGGAGGAGGAGGAGGAGGAGGAGGAGGAGGAGGAGGAGAGGAGGAGGAAGGAGGAGGAGGAGGAGCGCCGCTGCCTCGGAGTCCAGCTCGTCAAACCACGGAGCACCCGGGCTATCTGGGATGCACGCCTGGCCGTGTGCATCAGGCGGGCCCCATCTGTCGAGGACGTTGGCGGTGTGATATGCTGAGCGCACGGCATCCCCCCCTCGGCCTCCTCCTCCTCCACCTCCTCCTCCACCTCCTCCTGCTCCTCCTCCTCCGCCTCCTCCTCCTCCTCCTCCTCCTCCTCCTCCTCCCCTCCCCGCCTCCTCCTCGGCGTTTCCTGCCACAGGCAGGCAGGCCACGGAGATGAATTGATCGGCGGGCAGCGGGCCGAGGCCGAAGAGCCCGATGCGGCCGACAGCCGACGCGGGGCGAGAGAGGAAAGCAGGCGGGGGAAGCGAGCCGGAACCAAATCTAGGGGGCCACATGCGAACCCTACCCCTACCCCCCACGATTTCTGAGGGGGGGGGTGGGGTTCACTTCGCTCGCGAGCTCCCGAGCGAAGTGAACCCCACCCTCGCCCTCAGAAATCGTGGGGGGTAGGGGTAGTGTTCGCATGCGGTCCCCCAAAGTCGGGGAAGGGGCAACAGAAAAGATCGAGAGTAGCACATCCTGCTGGGGCACAGTGGCACCAGCGGCACCTCTTGGTGGATTCACGAAAACGCCGCCTGGTACGCCAGCCGTTTGTGATCCCCTTAATTAAGGACCGACAGAGACAAGAAGCTGGGGACCAGGGAGCACAACCGCCTAAAACGCATCATAACTAAATCAACCCGGGCACAAATACTATCACGGTGGACAGACCTAATTCAGCCTTCTCCCGAGTTCGGTGGGAGGAGGGAGAGGATTACGTAGGAGGCAACTACTGGGAGGTTTTCGTCGGGAGGATTAAAGAGGAGTAAGCCCCATTGGGGGGCTGTTACGCCAGAATGGGCCTCGGATCAAGCGGGATTAACCCGGATCAAGCCAGATTACGCAGCGAACATTGGTCGGGGAGACGTAAGAATCGTGTTAGCCGGGACTTGGGTTTGCCGACGCTTTTCGAATTGACCCGTCCCGAGTTTTGAACGCGCGCGCGGGGATGGCCCCCCTCGGTGCCAGAAGGGGCTAGAAGGAGGAGGAGGAGGAGGAGAAGTAGCAGATGAGGAGGAGGAGAAGAAGGAGGTGAAGGAGAAGGAGGAGGAGGAGGAGGAGGAGGAGGAGTAGGAGGAGGAGTAGGAGGAGAGGAGGAGGAGGAGGGGGAGGGAGGAGGAGGAGGAGGAGGAGGAGAAAGAGAGGAGGAGGAGGAGGAGGAGGAGGAGGAGGAGGAGGAGGAGGAGGGAGGTCGAGGGGTCGAGGGGTCGAGGGAAGGAGGAGGACGAGGGAAGGAGGGTGGATGTGGAGGGCGGAGGAGGGGGAGCCCTGCGTGCGAGGGGAGCGCATGTCTCCTGGCGCCCGCGCCCCGCCCGCGCCGCTGGCCCAGCCACTCAGGCTCGCGATGCCGACGTCCACGGGGACGAGCTCGCCGAGCGCACTCAGAAGCCCAGCATCAGGGAGAGGACCCACAATAGGAAGGAGGGGGAGGAGCTGGAGGAGGAGGAGGAGGAGGAGGAGGAGGAGGAGGAGGAGGAGGAGAGGACGGAAGAGGAGAGGGAGGCAGAGGACGACGCGGGACGGGAGCGGAACTAGAGGGTGATGATGAAGAGCAAGCGGATGACGGTGGTGGTGAGGAAGAGGATCTAACCTGGCCTTGCCTCGGTCTCGGCCCTCGACCCCTCCTCCGACTCATCGTCCGCCTCCTCCTCCTTCCCTCCTCCTCTTTCTCCTCCTCCTCCTCCTCCTCCTCCTCCTCCTCCTCCTCCTCCTCCTCCTCCCCAGAGCTCGTGACTCCATGAGATCCCATCTCGCGCGCCCCACGAGCACGCCGCCCCATGGAAGCGGGGGGCGCCCCCCCTGACGCCTGGAGGTCGTCCACGAGCCCAAAGTGGCCGCCAACCCTGCGGCCGAAGATGCTCCTCGCGGGGCCGCGCCGCCGCCGGTGCCGACAGGACCCGGGCCGCCTCGCGTCGCGGACAGCATCACGACGGAAGGCTCGTGCCCGTTCTCAATTTTTCGGGGGCCCTGACAGGGAAGAAGGAAGAAGCGCGAGCGTCCACAGAGCGCGTCCTTGGAAGGTATCCATAGATCCGCGGCGGCCCAGGGTGCTCAGGCAGATCAGCTCCCCAAGCGGTGGAAGTACAGGTCCCAGGCCTCGGAGGCCTCCCTCATGGGTCTGGGAAGAGACGGGGTCAGAGCGTCGCGCCGCATCGGCGACGTCGGCGCCTGGCTCAAAATCAGAGCGAAACAAGCAATGCCATAAACATAAAAACTCTGAGGTCCGCGCGGATTTCTTGGATCCGCGCTGGACCCCCCTTTCTGGCGTGCGGAGCGAGCCGGGGGCGGCGCCGGAGGCGCCGCCAGGGGTCTCCAGCGCCGATCCGAGAAATCCGCGCGGACCTCCGAGATTTCATGTTTGTGTCATTGTTCGTTCCCCTACATTTCGGTTGGGGATGTCCCCTTACAGGTGGATTTTGGGCGACGAATAAAATTACCCAGGCGACGTACCCAGCGCCAGCGCAATGCGGGGCATGAGTAGCTTGGGAGACGTTATACGGAGGTGGCGACGTGGCATGGGCGCATATACTTCTGCGAGCGATATTCGTGAGGCTCGCAGCCCCCCAAGGACGGCGAGGTCCCGCTCAGATCTGCGTGGTGCCTCACTCCGCTGGACCCGCCAGCAGCCTTCGGAAGTAGTGACGGTTTCGCAGATCGCAGCCCCCCAAAAGAAGACAAGGTCTACCTCAGGTCAGCGCGGTGCCGCACCCCGCTGGACCCACCAGCAGCCCTCGAGTGGCGACGATTTCGCAGATCGCAGCCCCCAACGGACGGCGAGGTCTCGCTCAGATCTGCGCGGTGCCTCACTCCGCTGGACCCATCATCAGCCCTCGAAAGTGGAGAAAGTTTCGCAGATCGCAGCCCCCCAGGGACGGCGAGGCCTAAGTACCTCAGGTCCGCACGGTGCATCACTCCGCTGGACACACCATCAGCCCTCGAAAGTGGCGACGGTTTCGCAGATCGCAGCCCCCCAAAAGAAGACGAGGTCTACCTCAGGTCCGCGCGGTGCCTCACCCCGCTGGACCAGCCACCAGCCCTCGAAAGTGGCGACGATTTCGCAGATCGCAGCCCACCAGGGACGGCGAGGTCTACCTCAGGTCCGCGCGGTGCCCCACTCCGCTGGACCCACCAGCAGCCCTCGAAAGTGGCGACGGTTTCGCAGATCGCTATGCAACCCCCCCAAGCAGCCCTCGAAAGTGGTGACGGTTTCGCAGATCGCAGCCCCCCAGGGACGGCGAGGTCTACCTCGGATCTGCGCGGTGCCTCACTCCGCTGGACCCACCGGCCGCCCTCGAAAGTGGCGACGGTTTCGGAGATCGCAGCCCCCCCTCCCAGGACGGCGAGGTCTACCTCAGGCCTGCGCAGTGCTCCATCCCGCTGGACCCACCAGCAGCCCTCGAAAGTGGGGACGGTTTCGCAGATCGAAGCCCCCCAGGGACGGCGAGGTCTACCTCAGGTCCGCGCGGTGCCTCCAGCAGCCCTCGAATGTGGCGACGGTTTCGCAGATCGCAACCCCCCAGGGACGGCGAAGAGATGGCCTCAGGTCCGCGCGGTGCCTCACTCCGCTGGACCCACCATCAGCCCTCGAAAGTGGCGAAAGTTTCGCAGATCGCAGCCCCCCAGGGACGGCGAGGCCTAAGTACCTCAGGTCCGCGCGGTGCCCCACTCCGCTGGACCCACCAGCAGCCCTCGAAAGTGGCGACGGTTTCGCAGATCGCAGCCCCCCAAAAGAAGACGAGGTCTACCTCAGGTCCGCGCGGTGCCTCACCCCGCTGGACCAGCCATCAGCCCTCGAAAGTGGCGACGGTTTCGCAGATCGCAGCCCACCAGGGACGGCGAGGTCTACCTCAGGTCCGCGCGGTGCCCCACTCCGCTGGACCCACCAGCAGCCCTCGAAAGTGGCGACGGTTTCGCAGATCGCAGCCCCCCAAAAGAAGACGAGGTCTACCTCAGGTCCGCGCGGTGCCTCACCCCGCTGGACCAGCCACCGGCCCTCGAAAGTGGCGACGGTTTCGCAGATCGCTATGCCGCCCCCCCAAGCAGCCCTCGAAAGTGGTGACGGTTTCGCAGATCGCAGCCCCCCAGGGACGGCGAGGTCTGCCTCAGGTCCGCGCGGTGCCTCACTCCGCTGACGCCCGACTCAGCCCTACGTGAAACCGCAGCGCCGATGCCTCGGCGAGGCGGCGGGATCCTGCGCCCCCATCCGCTCGGACCCCGCCGCCGAGAGGCCGGGCCCGGAGCCTCGGAGGCGGCAGGGGGGCAACTCCACTTGGGCGCGTGGGGGCGCACGGCTGAGCTTCGGTCGGGCATGTCCCCCTACAGGCGGAGTTGGGAGGAAACAGATCTGAAACATCTCGAATAATACTCAAAACAAAACAGAAACACTAAACACATTCGTCCCCTGACGATTGTTTGACTATGTTCGAATACTCCTCCTGTAGAGGGACAGGCCCGACTTGAGGCTAACCAGAGCGAGCGCTCCAGGCCACGCGGCGGCCACGGGTCCGACCGCGGCGCGGTGCTCCCTCTTCGCCTGCTCCTCCTCCCTGCTCGGCCTCCCCGCTCGGCCCGTCCTCCTCCTCCTCCTCCTCCTCCTCCTCGATCGTTCGTTCGTTCGTTCGGTCGCAGCTTGACGCAGGTGCGTGTAGTTGCCGATCCCACGAACAACAATGATCCCAGTGCGACCCTACCTAGGAGTTGGAGCCCCTAGGCAAGCAGCATTCGTAGTAACAGTAAAGCTAAGCCAAAGCTAAGCTAAAGCTAAGCTGAAGCTAAGATGAAGCTACGCCGAAGCTAAGCTAAGGCTCAGCTAAAGCTCAGCTAAAGCTAAGCTAAAGCTCAGCTAAAGCTAAGCTAAAGCTAAGCTAAAGCAAAGCTAAAGCTAAACTAAAGCTAAAGCTAAACCTAAAGCTAAAGCTAAGCTAAAGCTAAGCTAAAGCTAAGCTAAAGCTAAAGCTAAGCTACAGCTAAGCCAAAGCTAAGCTAAATCTAAGCTAAAGCTAAGCTAAAGCTGAGCTAAAGCTAAACTAAGCTAACGCTAAGCTACAACTAAGCTAAAGCTAAGCTACAGCTAAGCTAAAGCTAAGCTAAAGCTATGCTGAAGCTAAGCTGAAGCTAAGCTGAAGCTAAGCTAAAGCTGAGCTAAAGCTAAGATAGAACTAAGCTAAAGCTAAGCTAAAGCTAAAGCTAAAGCTAAAGCTAAACCTCCCAGGGGGACTGGGGGAACCGCGGGGCGGGGACTGGGGAAACCGCCCGGGGCGCTTTGCACTGCCCGGCCCCTTCAAGCTAAGAGAGTAAGAACCCTCTAGGCAGAGCCTAGGTAGGGAACAGAGAGGGATAGAGAGAGAGAACAACGATTACAGCAGGGCTTCCAGGTGCCAGGGGGCCGATGCGCCTCGACACTCCAACTCCCTACATCCCGGCACGGGTCCAAGGCCTGCCCCTTCTCCTCTTCCTCCCCCGTCGTCGTCCTGGAAATCTCGTACGCGTCGGCGCCCAAGTCGAGCGTCTCCTGGCGTGCTCTGCGGCTTCTGGCGCCGGCTGGCTTACTCACATCGCGAGCGTGCTCATTGAGCGAGGTATTCCTCCTTTCTCCGCCTGCCCCTTCTCCGCGGCACCCCCCTAGGAACGAAAAAGACGACGAGCTTGCCCCTGACAAGAGGGCCGTTCGTGGCGTGAGTCTCGCGCGTCAGGGCCATCGTATGCAATTTGCAACAGTAGTACAGGGCAGCCTTCTTATACATAGGATTTTCATCTATAGGATGTTGAAAACAGGATTAATATATGCATACATGTATGCATGAACTCATCGTTGTTTTTAATACTAAATCCCTGAATTTGTTTATACATGATCCGCACGCGGAGCATGTATTAAAAACGGCACTGTGCAGGCTAGAGCGCGATCCCTTACTTGCGAGAGCGCGATGTCTGAGTGCACTGCCAGGACGCCAGGGGCACGAGCGCAATTCTTGGAAGATGTGTGACGGTGTCCAACGCGAGAGAGCGAGGAGGTCCTAGGCGAGAGCGCAATTCTGAAGCAACCTGCATGAAAACGTCGAGCGACGGGCGGGAGCCGCTGTTGCAGCCCGGAGGCCGAACGACACCATCTGACCCCGAAGACGTTGTAGGCAGAACCGGGTGCGAGAATCGGCGGGTGCGACAAAGCATCATGGGCACCTGTGACGAGGGGAGAAGCAAGCACTGCTCTACAGAGGTGCCAGCAAAACGCAGGCCTGCACGCACACACTCACACACACACACACACTGGCATGCCGACACTTCTGCAACTGCACCCTCGGAAGGGTTTTCCCCTAGTGAACCCTGCTCGGGCGAGGATGAGGGTGCCGATGGCGCTGACGAAACTTCTGAGGATGCCGTGGAGGATGAGAATGGTCAGGGCGTCAAGATCTATACATATCCACCGTTCCTGGCCAGGCCCATCCTTGGCTCAGGAGCTGTGTATACGCCCTCCGTGCTTGGCCAGGGAGGCATATACAGCGCGCATGGGCCCAGGATGGGCCTGGCCAGGAGCAGTGGATACGTGCACATATGTATAGATACATATAGACATTTATACATATAGATACAATTACAGATATCGTCGCCCTACTGGTGAGGTGGTGGCAGAGAAGCAGGAAGGGGGAAGGGAGTGACATAGGAGAGGACGGGGCCAGAGGCACGAGGGAGGACGGGACGGGACAGGGCGGCAAAGGCAGGAGGGAGGAGCGGGAGACGGGGGGGGGAGGGAGGAGGAGGAGGAGAGGGAGGAGGAGGAGGAGGAGGAGGAGGAGGAGGAGGAGGAGGAGGAGGAGGAGGAGGAGGGGGAGGGGGAGGGGGAGAAGCAGGAGGAAGAGGAGCAGGAGGAGGAGGAGGAGGAGGAGGAGGAGAAGAGGAGGAAGGAGGAGCGAGGAGGGGCGGGAGATCGAGGGGAGAGGGGCACGGAAAGGCTCGAGCCGCATCAGCACTGAGTCGCCATCGACTCGGATCGGCCGCGTGAGGGTGCACGGTCACGCCATGCACCCACCAGGCCGCATCGGATCGTCGGAACAGCGGAATCGTCGTCGTCGTCGTCGTCGTTGTCATGTCATCGTGGCCTCCCCTGGCCCCCCCTGCCCTGGCCTCCCTGGAAGCCCTGGCCTCCGGCCCCTCAACCTTGGGTGGTAGCTCTGGCCTTTCAGCCTGGCCCCGTGGCTCGGAGCCGATTGCTTTCGTCGTCGTTGTCGTCGTCGTGCGCCTCCAGGGCCATCGGACCGAGCCGATCGAAAACGATCTCGAATGGGAACGATCGTATCGTAATGGGCACCGGGATGGGTTGGTTGGTTTTGCCACGAGCACCTTTACGACAAGGTTAGGGACAAGCTTACGAGAACAACAAAACAACGATTGGCTTTCGCCTCTCACTTTCGCCACACGCTTACGCTTTCGCCTCCCACTTTCGCCTCCCGCTTGCGCTTTCGCCTCCCAGATTCGCCCCACTTTGGCCTCCCGCTTTCGCTTTCGCCTGCGACTGTTGCCTCCCGCTGTCGCTTTCGCCTCCCACTTTCGCCTCCCGCTTTCGCTTTCGCCTCCCACTCTCGCCTCCCGCTTTCGCTTTCGCCTCCCACTTTTGACTCCCACTTTCGCTCTCGCCTCCCACATTTGCCTCCCACTCCCGCTTTCGCCTCCCACGTTTGCCCCCCGCTTTCGCTTTCGCCTCACAATTTCGCTCGGGAGGCGAAAGCGGGAGACATAAGGGAGGAGAAAGCGGGAGGCGAAGGCGGGAGGCGAACGCCGGAGGCGAAAGCGGGGGACGAAAGCGGGAGGCTCAAGCGGGAGGCGAAAGCGGGAGGCGAAGGCGGGAGGCGAAAGCGAGGGCGAACGCGAGAGGCGAAAGCGAGAGGCGAGAGTGGGAGGCGCAAGCAAGAGCAGGAGGCGAAAGTGGGAGGCGAAGACGAAAGCGGGAGGCGAAAGCGGGAGGCGGAAGTGGGAGGCGAAAGCGAAAACGGGAGGCGAAAGTGGGAGGCGAAAGAGGAAGTGAGAGGCGAAAATGGGAGGCGAAAACGAACGCGGAAGGCGAAAAGGGGAGGCGAAAGCGAAAGCGGGAGGCCAAAATGGGAGACGAACGCGGAAAGCGGAATGCGAAAGCGGGAGGCGAAGATGGGAGGCGAATGCGAATGATAGAGGCAGAAGGGAAAGGCGAAAGCGAAAGCGGGAGGCGTAAGTGGGATGCGAAAACGAAAGCGAGAAACGGAATTGGGATGCGAAAGCGAGAGCGGGCGGCAAAAGTGTGAGGCGAACGCGACAGCAGGAGGCGAAGGTAGGAGGCGAAAGCGAAAGCGGAAGGCGAAAGAGGGAGGCGAAAGGGAAAGTGAGAGGCGAAAGTGGGAGGCGAAAGCGAAAGTGGGTGGCGAAAGTGGGAGGCAAAAGCGAAAGCGGGAGGCGAAGGGAGGCGAAACTGGGAGGCGAAAGCGACAGTGGGAGGCGAAAGTGGGAGGCAAAAGCGAACGCAGAAGGCGAAAGTGGGAGGTCAAAACGAAAGCGGGAGGCGAACGCGGGAGGCGAAAGCGAAAGCGGGAGGCGAAACTGGGAGGCGAAAGCGAACGCGGGAGGCGAAAGTGGGAGGCGACAGCGAAAGGGGGATGCGAAAGTGGGAGGCGAAAGCGAGAGCGGGATGCGAAAGTGGGAGGCGTAAACGAACAGCCTCCCACTTTCGCCTCTGCTGCTTGTCGTGAGTTTGTCTCTACCTTGTCGTGTTTGAATGCTTCATTGTCGTGTTTGGGTCCTCCTTGTCGCGTCTGGGCCCTGTCCTTCGCACCAGGAGCGCACTTGGGTGCACCATCTGCGGGGCGCCTGGACGAACAGGTCCTTGAGCGCTGTGGCGAACAGGGTGACGCCCACGCCCCTGAGCTGGCACGCAGCACAAGCACGCAGTTGATACCGACGGCACACGCCATGGGGGAGGAGTTGGAAAAATACTGGCCATGGGGTCGCGAACGGGGACGATGACATCGAGCGAGGCCGAGGAGCAGTTATTGTCAAACTGCTAGCAAAGATCCCGAGGAGAACAAGGAAGGAGGCGGCGACACGCGAAGCTGATGCGCATGAAGAGGACGAGACGTTCTCTGCATATCCCACCAGCCTTTTTCTGCGAGAGGTGGTCAAAGGAGGGGGTCTTTTTCCTCTTTCACAACCCATTTTCCCTTCGGTGGGGGGAACCCTCCCCCTCCCCTCCCTGAGGGTTTCTTGGGGGGGGGGGGCCGATGTGTCAGAGGGTAAAGGCAAATTTATGACACCTCTTACGAGGATCGTGGCCCCCATAGGGGGGACGCAAATCGAGGGGCCCCCCTTTTCTGACCGACCGCTTCCAGGATAAGCCCAAGAGGCCCTCCAGGGCTCCCAAGAGGCCCCCAAAAGGGCCCAAAGAGCTCCCCAAGACGCCCCAAGAGGCTTCCAAGAGGCATCCGAAAAAAAAGAAGCCCCCATGAGGCCCCCGAGCAGCCTCGGAGAGCCCAAGACTACCTCCAAGATGGCTCACATAGCCCAAGCTGGCTCAAGATGGCTCCCTAGATGCTCCAAGCGGCCCCAAAACCGCTCCAAAACGGCTCGAGATGGCCACGGAGCCTCCCCCCCTCGCTGTTTGACTACGTGTGTCTCTCCACTTTTCCCCCGCCAAGTCTCATGGGCATCGTTTCTGGATGGGTTGGTGGACAAGACAAGACAGGACACGCGCCGATATGCGCCCCGGGGGGCGGCCCTCTAAGAGCTCGGCGGGGCGCCGGAGCGCCGAAACTCGGATGTCGTAGTACATGCTTACTTACGATCTCGAATGTGAACTGTTGGCTCCACTGATACCGTCCTTCCCACGAATTTCAGCATGCGGCGTCGTAAAGAAGAAGGGGCGCGTTTGCCTCGCATACGTTTGTGCGACACCCATCACCTCAGCCATAATTTGTGCAATGTGTATAACGGTTGTGGAACAAACTCGTTTGTCTTGCTCAGCGGGTCTCCATTGTGAAATTTGTCGCCTACACTCCGCCAGCAACAATATCGACGCATGAACTCATAACGCTGCTCCGTTTCAACCCTCGATAACTTCTTGCAGTTTGGATTGGGGATTGTTGATTTGCATTCCACAATTTGGTTCCCGAGCGTATCCAGCACCATACGTGTGTAACTTGTTCCGTCGCACACAATGATGAACAACTCGGTTGCTGTCTGGATACTCGAGATTACAGCGCCAATTGTGGCCTGCGGTGCCTTGACCCGTTCATCTTCACTAGATACGCGGCTCGCCTCACAAGAAGGGGCGCGGTCTCGACCCATTCCACAACTGCTGGCGTGATCACGAGCGCATGGCATGACAAGCGTCTGCCCTGCGGTCTTCTCCACAAATACAGCCATGGGAACTTCGACAACCTTCTCGACGTACTCAAATTTACATACCTCAACATACCACGCTGTCCCGCACATTGCTACGATAGGTTCCATTGGGACAGGGTGGGTGCTGACGGTATTGACTGGCCTGCACTACTGCACGCGCAAAATGTGGGACTCGATTTCGCCCAGCAGGCGGAGTACATCAAACTGGTCATTCCATATCGCGTCAAGCTGTTCTCCGTTCTGTATTGCCGTCGCCTTTCCAAATGTACATGTTTGCCGCTCGACGTTTAAGTCCATTGCTTGTTGGCCCACGGCATGGCGCAGATGCAACGAATCGAGGGGATGGCTGTTGACTGCTTGGGGCTTGAGCCTCGCTTGAGCCTTGAGCCAGAATGGCTACGGGGATGGGCTGGTGGGGATACTATTTTCTGACCTGCGGCTCCAAGGACGATTCCAGAGAGCGGGTCGTATCGAGCATGGAACAGCACGCAAGATAATGCCAGCGGGCCAAAAGCCAACGCCGGAGTGCACATGGGGTCGGATCTAGCAAGAGCCAGCGCGCAAGATAATTGCCAGCGGGCCAAAGCCGACGCCGGAGTGCACAAGCGCCAAAGAGAGCAAGCGTGAAGCCAAGCGAGATCATTACCAGCGGGCAGAAAGCCAACGCCGGGATGCACATGCAAGGGGAGAAACCTAAGAGGCCCAGCAAAGCCAGACGGCGAGCAGGTAGAACCAGCGGGCCAAAAACCGACGCCGGAGGGAACCTGCGGGGGAGAAATGAAACGCATGCCGACGACCCGGCACACGGTGAAAGCGATGCTTGAACCAGGAATCCTCACTCACGGAGCAACTAGGGCTCATGGACAGGCTGGTGGGGATATTTTTTTTTTTTTTTTACGGCCGCAGGCGGAAGCGCCAGCGGCGGGCAGTGGCTGGTGGGGATACGCGGAGCGCCAACAATAATATGCACACCAGGAATAGCGCCATGGTCGCTGCACTCTTGCGATCATTCCTCGCCTGGCAGCGATGTGCCACCCACACAAACGACCCCTGCCAGCACGACGTCTAAACGGTGCCGTGCTTGTGCTCGCAAAGCTCAACGGTGCAAGCACAAGAGCCGAAGCTGAATACCCCTTGCCTAATACAACCAAACCTCGAAGGCCTCGAGACCCTCGAGGCCCAAAGCGACGGCGCCGAGCTGAGCGAGCCATACACCTCGCAAAAGGACTGCCGGACAACGAGAGCACCAGAGCCTACAACGTGCTTAGACCCAGCGGCCAGCTGAGCTTCAACGACAAGACGGGCGAGACCAACACCACATAGGCCGAACTGATACTGAGAATCCTGGAGCCGCGTGTTCACGCAACCGTGCATTTAGATACGCCAGCAACTGGAAGACTACCCCGATTTCTCTGAAAAGCACAAGCACTGGATAACCGCGGCGCAAACAACAACCACACGCAATATATATATATATATATAGCAGTAGCAGGAGGTACGCAGGCAAATTTAGCGATAACCCTAATCGCCTCCGTGCCGCCGTGAACTGACCTGAGTGCCCTCAAATCCTTTCGGGTTCATGTTCCACATGGGTATACAACAAGGCTCATCCGACTGCGTACTTCCCAGCTCCGACTACCTAATGGTAATCATCTCCCTTCCTTTCCTCATCCTCTGTTCTCCTGCACATCCGCCCTGACTGTGGACACCCTTCCTATCTTCCCCTCTTCCTCCTCCTTCTCCTCCTCCTCGACTTCGCCTTCGCACTCCTCCTCGTCCCGCACTCTCCCATTTGCCACACAGCACCACGAGGACAATGCTGGGGGAACACAACGAGCTTGGCGCCCAGCGAAGCCATGCCCCCTCCTCCGATTTCTCCTGCTCCCCCCAACCACCCCTCCCATCCTCTCCCTTACTCCACCTACCAGGACATCCGCCGTGATGTTTGGCAACGTGGCTGCCCTGAGGTCTTGACCCCTTCCTTGGGACTGGCTTTTCATGCCTTCCTCGGTGCTGGTCTTTCATCTTGGGCTGTTTGTTGACGGTCTCGAGGCTCGGCAAAGGCCCCCAGAGGAGGCTGCAAATTATCAAACCGGTCCGTCGTGATTTTTGTCACGACGCGAAGCTGATGTCAGGGCCCTCCCTCCCCCGCTATCTAAAGGGGAAGAAAACTCAGGGGAGAGAGCCGCGACCTTGAATCGAAGATACATCGCCGATAGATCGGACAAAGTCCCTCCACAGCAAATGCGCACGCTGATGGGCGGGAAAAAGCTATCGAGCTCGCATCGGCGATCAATGGGCGATTTGGGATCGATGCGCCTATCCCACAAACCCGGAGCAGGGCGAGTTGAGACAATGGCAGCTCAGAATCGGTCCCCAGACCCCCAAACGCACCAGATTTCCGGGCTGCGCCCTGTCGTGGCGACCAGCGCCCCCCCCCGAAGGCAAATCACCTTTGTCTCAGCTCGCCCTCCTCTGGAGGCCTGGAAATGGGCACCAACACCACCACAGGGGGTTGCCTCCACAGGGGGAAGATGAACCTAGATTTCGGTGTTGGTGGTAATATGTCGGCCACCAGAATATTACCACCATCACCGAGATCGGGATTCTCTTCTCACGGTGGAGGAACACCGCCGATATTGGTGTTGGTGTCAACCTAGGCGAGGCGCAGCTACCGAGCCGCTGCGAAAAAAAGCCTCGAACCCCGAAGCTCGAACCTCGAGCCTCTCCCCCCCTAACGTGACCCCGCCCACCGACTCTCCCCCTCTCCCCCGTCCCCCCGCTGCAGCGCCGGGCGCGCCAGAAGGGCAGCGAGAACGCCACGAACAGGAGCGGCGCACCGCCGCGCAGCGCACCCGTGGTCCAGGTGGCCGTGAAGCCGAGCCAAAAGACCGAGAAGCCTCAGGCCGCAGGCACACGGGAGCGAGGCTGCCGGACGTTAGGGGGCAAGTGCCGGGAGGTACTCGTCGGGAGGCTCACGGAGGATTAAACCCCGGAGGGCTGCTACGCTGGATGAAGCCGCGGACTGAGCGGGATTAAGCGGGACGGCGCTGGATTAGGCCGGAGTGAACCAGGTTCAGCGGGATCAAGCCGGACAAAGCCAGACTTCGGACGAGGGCCTAGTCAGAATGTGACCTCGCAGGGGTGGCATCTAAATTCCTCAGAGCAGCCACGGCAGAACTGCTTCGCCCCAAAATGACAAGTTGCGTCGAACCTACGAGGAATAGCACGTATAATGCTCATCCATCTACGAATATGATACGTACGGGTGGTGAATTCGACGAGGAAATGAATTCTGGGACGCATCAATGTTGAAGCCGATCTCCTCCTACTCGAAACATGCTCGCATCTTGTGAAAGCCAAACGTGCTGCTTTGACTCGAAACATGCTCAGTGCGGCCTGCTTTCGGCATCGGGGGCCCTCGCCGGGCCCTGGGACGCCCAGGGAACAGGGTTGGGACTTCCGGCGGGCTCCGTGCTGGAAAGAACACAAGAGATCGAATGTCAGGGAGGTGCAAGCCCTACCCTTGCAAGTCAGATCTCTGAAAAGATTTCCAGGGTTTAGAAATCGAGGACTGGCCATCGCTCGGACGTCCATCCCCCCTGCATGTTTCGGTTTCGTGCGTGCTTCTTTTGCTGAGCGATCCAGCATGTGTCTTGATGGTCCTTGCCGAAAAAAAAAATGCACACGCCAGAGCTTGCGTGGGCGCCGTCAGCCGTGTACAAGACCAGCTCAATACACGCGTTTGCGCACGTGCCATTATGCGCGGAAGCGCGCATCGAACTGGTGCGGCTCGCTGTTGGCGTCTCCCCACAGTCAACCCCATCGGGGGTGTCCCATACTCCACAAGACGAAGCCAGGACGAGGATAACATCTGGCGAAATCGAAAATATCTAAGATCGAGCATCTCTGGAGGACGTCTCGGGCGCCGCGGCCTTCTCAGAGCGTTCCAGAATGCTCTCAAAGCGGTCTGGAACGCTCTGGAACAGATTATTACCGTCCTAGCCCCATCTGGCTCCAGCATTGATTGACACCGCAGGGGTAAGGTTCGCACGTGGTCGCAGATCCTGACCTGGCCAGGGCCGCGGTGGGCAATATCGATCGGTATTGAAAGGGGAGCTGGAATCGGAAGTGGGCGTGCGTCGGGTATACCCACGCACCTTCGCGTAAATATCCACCATATCCCATATTGGAGGGGGGGGAAGAGGGGGGGTGAAACGCAGCGCCATCGATGAGGCCAGAAACAGAACGCCCAGCCAGCGCAAGCCAAGGTGACCGATAGACAAGCGGCTCACACGAAGGGGCTGTGAGAGGGCACGCGAAAACAAGCCGAGTATTGAAAGAACGATGCCGCCACAAGGACGCGAATCAGATCGGAGCGGCCGCGCCAGGATGCACAATGCACAACACCGCCATGCGACTATTGGGCCGGTGAAGCTGCCGCATGCCCAAGTCGTTCCGGGGTGGGGGGGGGCGTTTTTAGGGCGGGCTGGCTCCGGGGGGACATGTTGACATGGAATCGGCGATGCCTCGCCGATAGATCGACGATCCGGGCCTCTATGGCGAAGCCGCGCGTTCGTGGGGAGGGGGTCCACCAGGCCCCGATCGGCGGTGGGTCGACGTTGAAAACTCCATGCCCCCCCCCCCCTTGGGCCAGGCCGCCCACTGTCCGCGCCCCTGGTTGATGCGCGGCCGGGCCAGGGTGCGCCGGGGCGTTCGCCGGCATGCTGGCGAACGCCCTAGCAAAACGCGCGATGGAGCTGGGAGATGTCTCGGATGCCAGGGTCGAGCAAGTTCAGCCGGGGCCTGAAGTGAATTTGAGAAATGGGGCAGGAGGGGGAGAGGCAGGTCCTTCTACGCCCTCCTGCTGCCTCCCGCTCCGCTGCAAGACTGCAAGACTGCAAGACTGCGGCGGAAGTCCTGGAAGTTAATGCCGTCGGCTGGCCGCGCGCTCTCTCAGCCCCCCGCCATCTCCACCCACGTACCTCCTTTCTAAACTTATTCCGAACTTGCGGCCAGGAGGGCAGATCCAGCTCCTAGCCCAGGCAGGCGCGGAGATAGTAGGGGGCGTAGGATGAGGAACCTAGCGTGTGGAACTACGTGGAACTACGGAGGGGCAGAATGGGGAAAGCCGAGGAGTGGGAATCCCCTGCTCGCGCTCGGCAAAACGCACCTTCTTGCTTGGTGATGCTGGGGCTGGCGAGTGCCAGTGGCCCAGCGGTCCGCCCAGCTCAGTTGGACCCCAAGCTCGCAATAAACATCAAGCCGAGCTCTTCCCTGCTAGCACCCCATGCTTCTGCTCAGTATAATCAAATAGGATGGGGCAGGGGTGGCACGTTCTTCCGAGCTCACAGAAGGGCCCCCTGCCACTTCAGCGCGCGGACATCCTAAAACTCCCTCTGCTGTCATTGCGCAAGCTGCCTCTCGGAGTCCAGGGCAGCCTGGACATGTGAATTCTCTGCTTCGAGCTGCGTTGCCCCCTTCTCGGAGGCCGCGTGCTGGAGTTGATGTACCTGCATTTGAATATCCGGCGGTTCGGGCGGCGGGATAGCACCGTCCGGCCCTGATGGCGCTGCGACGTTCTGTCCAGGCTGGGGTGGCGAACTCACTGGGGGGGCGAACTCACTGGGGGGTGTGCTCTGTTCTGCTGGCTGGCTGTGGCAAATTGGCCTCGGGCTGGCCAGGCCGCTCGGAACGCTCGTCTTCGCGCCGCGGAGCCAAGCAATGCCCGCATCTGGGGCCAGTGGCCCTCCGCTCTATCCAGATCCACGCCACGTGTCCTCCAGGGCGCGCAGGCAAGGAATGGCACGCCAAGGAGTGGCCTGAAGCCCTCGCGGACATGATTGGGGATGGCTGCGCAGGTGCGAGGAGAGGGGGCGCCAAGGACTGAGCCCACTTGCTCCACGCACCTGCCTTCTTCAACTGGCCACAACTGTGGTGCGGCGCCAATGCAAATGCTGGCACTGGACAAAGATCAGCGAACGTAGTTGTCGATCCAATAAATTTGCCCTCGAAAAACTTGCTGAGCTCCGAGCTTTCTTTCTTGGCCTGGGGCACTCGTCGAATGAATGCCCACCGTGGCAGGCTGTGAAGCGCCCGCACTTGATCACGTGCGACAGGGAGCCTGACCCATCAGAATGCTGCGCGCACGACGCAGCCTGCCCCCAAATGTCGAGCTTGAGGCCACTGGAGCAGGACCTCGCCTGCTCCAAGGATAGTTCATGCGTGCACTTGCCTGGCTGCCTCTACATTGGCTAGCTCACTCGAGAAATGGCCGCGAGCTTGGGCTGCTCGCCCCGCGTGCCAATCCGCGGCCTTGTTGCCCATGAGGCAGGGGCGATCCACACTGCTCGCGGCCTCATGGTCGCCTCTGTGCGCCTTTGCACGTAAACTGTCAGCCCACGTGCCAAAGGTCATGCCCCTGGCCCCTGGCCCCTCAGAACTCAGCAAGCAACGTGGCAGAGTCAATTGCACATGGGGATTCGCGAGGCCACGCAGCGCGCTGATTCGCAATTGTTTTTTTTGTTATGAAGAAGTATATTCGTATATCTCATATATGGATATATAAGCAGCCGCAATTCAATCCTGGTAGAGGACCCCCCTGAAGGTCCTTAACAGGTTTTCCTCATCTATCGGGACAGCTGCACGCCCTGCTCGGGCCAGAATAGGCTGCGTAGGACATCTGCTGCGCCCGTCGGTGCACGCTGCCACGCTGGGGAGGAAGAGGCCAAACTCCTCCTTGGAATATTCTCTGACTTGCCCGTCGTCGCACACGCAAAGTTTGACTTGCCAGTCTGCCGCCGGCGATACCCGCGCCTGCGGCCTGGCCGCGCACAGGAATGTATATAGGAGGTCTTGCTGATCTGATTGTACGTAAAGCTGCTTCCACATGTGGCTCTACAGTGTCCTGCCTGGTGTCTCGCCCATGTGGGCATTTCCAAACTCGGTGGAAGCATGCGTCGCCATTCATCATGGCCATTTGCAAAAGGGCCCACTCCCATCTGGCCCCAAGAAGCTAGCTTGGAGTCTGGAGGGAGCGTTCCACTGAACACGCGCCTGGCGCGCGTGATGCCCAGCTGTTTGGCTATAGCTCGTATGTGTGACAAGCTCCGTCCAAAGGCCAGCTGGCTGGACGGCTGCCGCTGCTTCGGCACTGGGTGAGGCTTTGCTTCAACTGGTGCGCGAAATGTTTTGCTACCCTGCTAGGTGCAATCTTGCGCATGCCCCATGATCGTCCTGCTAAATAAATGGCTGTTGTGGCTGTAGGCGTATCCCATCCTATTTCTTTGACCCGCATTAGCAGCTGAGATGCGGGACCTGTGGCTCTACCTAGCTGTGCTTTCTTGTTCGTTGTGCAGACAGTAGCTTTGGCTGTTTCTAATGCCCCTCTTGATCCTTTGATTGAGAATCTGTCGCCATGTACGCGCAACTCAGATCTGAGATCTGGCCGAAGTTGCGCCCCGCAGCTCCGCCGCGGCGCGGCGCATGCCATTGTTATGCCTCGTCCTGAGGCTGCGGCCCCGAGCTGGCGGAGATCCCCAATTTCGGCGGGGGCGCGCCCTCGGGCGCTGGCTCCGCAATGCAAGGCCGAGCACCGCCCGACCGTGTAAACTCTTGCTTCAGTAACCTTCCTGTTGTCTTGTAGCCTCAGGTTTCGCATTTTCTTTTCTCGGCCTGTTCGCACGATCCAGCTTTTGATCCGTTGGGCACTGGCTCCTTCTACTCGCTGATGCTGGCAAGCAGTGGCATCCATCATTTCCCAGATTCGCCGCCGCTCTCGCAGCTGCTCCACCCCTTTTCCCAGGACGTTTCCTTCGCGTCGCGAAGAAACCTAAGACTGCTGGCCGCCGTTTTGAGCTTCGGCAAGGAAAAGCTGAGGCTCGATCCAAGTAGTCCTGCCCATATTCCAGCCGTCAGGGTAGCCAGGGAACCAATGGCCCAGATGGGGCCCCGTTCCCCGAGGGCTTCGGTTGAGGTCGTCGAGATGCATGCTGGCCCCGGTGCGTCACTTGTACTCGCCAGGGGCGACTTGGTCAGTGAGGAGCACCATGCGCTGCTCTGCAACGCGCGCAGCTGCTGCCCCCCCTGCTGCAATGCCGCGCTTCGGGTAGACTGCGGGGCTGGCGATCCCGTCGAGCAGCAACGTTCTAGGTTCTAGGCTACCTGTAAACAATGTTCTAGGCCACCTGTAAACTCCCGCGTCAAACAGGACACGCCGCGGGCAGTTAGCATGCTCGAACTTGGCCCTTTGCTCTAAGTTCTCGTAGTCGGCAGAGCTGCCCCCACGGCAGCTGGGCGCAGTTGAAGCCAATGCACGCCTGCATCTCTGCTCTGACACTCTGCCCCTGTACCGCGATGCTCTCGGCCCCCCCCTGCGCCGCTGACACGAGCCCTCCCGCGCCCCGCTTACCCCCCCCGCCCCCCTCACCCCCCCCGCCAGTCTCTGCGCTCAAACGCTGCTGGCTCACCATAGACCATGAGCATACCTGCGAGGAGGGCAATGCATCTGCGATTTGGTTCCTCGTGCTTCCATGTCGCAGTGATTAAATTCTCGCGCTGCTGCAGGGGCTCGGGCAAGCAGATCCACGAGCAGCAACAGGAGCCTCATGGCTGTTCGCCCTCCTGGAGGCATCATGCCGAAAAAGTCGCGGATGAAAACCATCTGGATGGCATGTCTGCTCTCTGAAAATCCGTGTAATCTGCTTCAAGGCGCGTGCCAGTTGGCCCGGGGAGCGGCCGGGGGCGCCGAGTCTGTTGCCACGGGGGGCTCTTCTGTTCGATCAAGTGCATCATCTCACATAGTGCCCCATAGCTTCAGCTGGCGTTCCAAAAGCAAGGGCCAGGCAAAGGATGGGCCTCCTTCTGCGATGAACTCGCCCGCGTCGCGACTGTCTTTGTCGCCGAGATAGCGATGGAGTGGTGATCGTGATCCTTCCACCGCTGTCTCCACCCACTCCCTCCAGGTCTCTCTCTCTGTCACTGGGCCCCCGTCCGCCCCGGCCGCCGCGTGCAAGAAGGGGTGAGGGGCGAGGCAGCGCGCGCACCCCCCCCCCCTCGCCATCTGCTTCGGCTGCCTGAGCTAGGGCCCTAGCCCCGCATTCAGGGGGCGGGAGACATCGCCTGCTTCCAGCCAGCGCGCTCGAAATACCCATCCTTTCTTCGATGGCTGGACGAAGGCCTGGAGCAAACTAGCGAAGCGTTTTCCTGGTCGAGCTCCTTCTCGAGACACCCCATCACTGCCCATGCCCCCTCCCCCGAGCCTTCGCTTGACCAGGGCAGAGATCGCTCCGGCATCGCATTTGGAGATCCTCGAGGAGGGCCCGCCTAGTAGTAGGGTACATCTGGTAGGGCACGGGAACATCTACATATATGTCATTCGCGCTGACATCGAGAATCGAATCCGCCACTCGATGCGTCGACGTTTCCACGAGCTGGTCTACTTCCAGTTCCCACAGCCCTGTTCGGAGAATATGGCCAGCCGAACAATATTCAATGTAAGACTCGGAATCGGGTTGATCTTCCGAGCCCCACTGGGCTTTGAGCGCGGGGGCAGGTGCGCATTTGACGCTCATGCGCAGGCGGTGCATTATCGGATGCTCACACAAGCAATCCACATCGATGTTAACATCGCCCCAAAACTAAGGCTCGCTGACCGTGCTGGGCGATATCGTCGGCCAACGTGTCCTTTTGCCGATGATCAAGTAGACAGACCAGGAGGAAATGAAACCGAATCTCTTGGATCTGAAATTACAGCGGCAGGCCCTTCCTGGTGCAACAATAGTCTTGTGGTCCGCACATGTATCGAGATGGCCGCTGGCGAGGAGTAGTGACCTCTTGGTGCTTCCACATTGTCCTGCAAGGCCTGGAGCACCATATCCTTCATCATCTGTTCTTCGTAAAGTGATCACTGCTGTCGTATACTTGGCCCAAATGAACGTGGTGTCTTGGGAAGAGACAACAACGTCTGACCCGAATGCTCGCAGAATGTGTTGGTAGGTGCTCCGGGAGTTGACGTTGCTGGTACTAGATGTGTGATAGTGCGGTACATTGCTTGCACTCCCTCTATTGCGGTCTCGGGGGTTTGGGTTCAGATTGCCCCAGAATTTGGCCTGGCGAATCTCCAAACGAAGTGGCAGTGCCTGTTTCGCCTTTGCCGCATTGTTATGTGAGGGACTTGTTTTAATGGGCAAAATGGGCAACTGCTGCTTGCGTGTTGTCTCCGAAACCATTGGGGAAGACCTTGGTAAATCCTTTGGCTCCTTTTGGAAGTGCCAACCGTCACTTCAAAGCCGCATTCTTGGCCGCACGCTTACCTCCGAAAGAAGATCCCATTTCCTGGCCCAGTACACCAAGCTTCTTGCCATACCGTTATTTAGCTGTTCCTTCTTCTGCTGCCGGCCCTCCGTTGTCCTCCTCCATTGCTGTTGTGTCGGCTCCTCTTCCGCTGCCAACCCGCGGCTTGGAACCAGTGCATCGCAAGCTTGCAGAAGATCGTCTTTGCCGGGGTGGGCTTCGGCGACTTCTTCTCAAAGACGAGGAGTTTTCCTGGAGGTCTCCTCCCTGGGACTGCATCGTGGATCCCGCCATGTTTGAAAATTTCGTACGACGCGAGCCCCAATTCTTTTCCAACTCTTCTGCCTGTGTGGGGCTGGTGATCCGATTGCGAGGCAAGTTGGTCGAGTTGTTCGTGGATCATGGGGTGATGCTGTTCTTCCCTGGTGATGAGATTCTCTTGCTGCTGGAGGTACTTCATCGCCGAAGCTTGCTCTCACGTCTGGGCATGCGCGGTTTGGTACAACTCTCCCAGCTGAGAAATCAGTTCTTCTGGGAGATCGCTCTGCCTGGACTTAGCGTTCAGGAGGGCCTGGTGGAGTTCATGGAGGGTGTTGCCTGGCTTCTTTCCTGGGCCTGGGCCCTTTTCCGACGTCCTTCAGCTGCTGCTACAGCTCCCCCGGGTCCCCCTCCACATTTACCTCCTGGAGGAGGAGGAGGAGGAGGTCCATCGCCTCTGCCAAGTCCTCGACCCCCCTCCTGGTGCTGCTCCTCCTGCTTCTCCTGCGCTTCCTGGCCATCCCTTGGCCCCTCCGCCGCTGGGCTGATGAGCCGCCCTTTGCGCCCCTCCCCCCCCAAGAAGACCCCGACTCCCGTGCGGTGAATAACCTGAGCGCGGCCGCAGATTGCGAGTGCCGCGCAAAAGGTCATCACCGATGGTGGCGGCGACAAGGGTTACTGAAGGGGCCCCAGGACACACAAATAAATACACACAAATAGAATGATTCCCCATATTTTCCCATATTTGTAGGGTTTTTGTCTTCCCCCCCACTTCCCATATTTTCCCATATTTTCCTGGGGATCGTTGATTAATTGTGTCTGTGTGTTTTTTCCCCTCCTGGGTTACTCCCTCAGCCCGGCGGTTGCGGTTGCCCCTTCTTCTCCCGCGACTTGCTGCCACGATCCACGCAATAGAGGCTTGTGGTCAGGCGTGGCACCCTTGCCGAATCCAGTTCTGCTCTAGTGACGTCAGCGACCGGCCGCTTAAGGCGATGCCCGCTAAACAATAGATTGCCTTGTCCTCTACTGGTGAGGGGGGAGGGAGACTGGGGAAACAATACAAAGCGAATAGCGACCCACTAGTCAGCTTGAATAAGCGGAGCGCACAGTACATCTTGTACCAAGCTCGATCTACGAGCGAACACTATTACGCGTGCACTGGCCCCGCTGCACAAAGCCAAGGCTTCCAACAAACAAGTTTTGCATTTGGAGCGGGATCCGCACGGAGGAAGAAGAGGATGAGGGAGGGAGGGACCTCCCACCTTCTCCGTCTCTGAGGGAGGTGCCGAACGTCATCAGGCCTTCGGACGTCAAGCCTTTGGCGGGCAGCGAGACAATGAGATGTCCGTCCTCGCTGCGACCGTGGTGGAGGAGGAAAGACAGCGGAGGAGGAGGACGAGGCGTGGAGGAGGATGACGACGCGGGCAAGGACAAGGACGACGACGACAAGAAGGGAATACGAGATGGACGGCGGAGGATGACGACGATAACGGAGAAGGAGAAGCACAAAAGAGGATAAATAGAAGGACGAGAAGGAGGAGAAGGAGGAGGAGGAGGAGGAGGACAACCACGGCAACGAGGTGGACGAGTAGGGGCGGGAGGACCAGGAGGAGGAGGGCAACTTACGAAAGAGAGGAGAAGCGGGGAGCGGGGGTGCAGGAGGCGAGCAACGAGGGGGAGAAGGGGGGAGGTCAGGAGGAGAAGAGAGAGGAGGAGGAATAGAGAAGAAAGAACCATCAGCAGCAGCAACCAGCACCCAGGAGGAAGCGGCAGGTGACGGAGGGCTAAAAGGAGCCTGAGGAGGCCAGCGGCAAAGCCTCTCCCGTCCATTCCCTCGCCCTCCCCCTTACCCTTCTGTATAAGGGGCCCAGGGGCACACAAACAAATATGCACAAATCCCAGGATCCCCTATATGCTCATATAGTTTCTGGGCTTTCGCATTCCCGTGCACTTCCCATAGATTCCCACATGTTCCTGGGAGTCGACTAGTAAGTATGTCTATGTTCTGTGTTTTTGTCCCTCCTGGTTCTACCCCTCCTCTAGCGCGCCAGGAGTCACAACAGACCACGGAGGTCCGCGCGGATGGTTTCGATCGGCGCTGGACCCCCATGTTGGCACCTCCGCCACCGCTCCTGGCGCGCTTCACGCGCCAGGGAGGGGGACCCGGCGCCGATCCAAGAAACCCACGCGGGCCTCCGAAAGTTGATTTGTGTGCAATTGCTTCTTTCTTCGAGTTCCTTCCCACAGAGGCAGGCCACTCCCTTGCTGAGCGTGAGCATTTTCCAAGGAGTTAGCGTTCGACGCTGGCCCACGTCGAACTAAAACCAGAGGGGGCCGAGGTGTCGATGGCCTCATTCTCCTCACATGGTCTGCGGCCAGAGCTGGCCCGAGGCGTCGCCATGTCCACAACCATATATATATATATCCATATATATGTGTATATATATATATATATATATATATATATCATGGCCTCCATCCGCCGTCCCCCGCCCCCTCCCCTCCGTGCCACTTTCCCCCCCTCCGCCCCTCACTCGGTGCACGCGTGCCGAAATGAATCTTAGCCTTACGCTGAGATGTGGCGTTGGCGCTGTCGGCCGCCGAAGCACAGTCGCCAACCTTCGCTCGCGGACCTCGCCCACTTCCATCCCCCCGTCCTCCTTCCCTGTCCTCTCTCCTGCCCTCGTCCCCCCCCCCTCCCCCCACCTCCCCTCTCTCCCCCTCTGCCCCCCCCTATCGCCTAATCCCCCCCCTCGCCCCCTCGACCTCCCCTCTCCCTCCCACGTCCCTTCCCCCCTTGGCACCCTTCCGGCTCCTCGTTGGTGGCGTTCATCTTGGAGCCCGCCGGGGGACGCAGCTCCACGGTGTAGCCCGGCGCGTGGCCCTCTCTGTGCCTGCTCCTCCTGCCTCTCCTCCGCCCCCGCTAGGTTAGGGTTACGTTGGGGGCCGATCGAGCAGAGTTCGGCCGCCATGCGGGGCATGGGCTGGAGCTGGGAAAATATGCGTCGTTCAGACATCTTTGCATGAGGGGAGGGAAGAGGAGGAGGAGGAGGAGGAGGAGGAGGAGGAGGAGGAGGAGGAGGAGGAGGAGGAGGAGGAGGAGGACGAGAAGGAGGAGGAGGAGGAGGAGGCGGAGGAAGGGGAGGGGGAAGCATGCCTCAACTTGCCACTGCTGATGCTGAGGCCGTTGCTGCCTCATGTTGCCGTTGCTGAGGTTGCTGCCTCATGTTGCCGTTGCTGAGAATCAAAAGGATGCTGCCCCCCCCAGGGGCCGTCAACCCTAGAGGGGTGTAATCAAACCCAGGGCTAGCGATATGTAAGCTGCCTGCGTGGCGCTCTTGCTTGCGGATCGGGCGGGTGGCAATCGGGGGTGACCTGAATTGGGGGTGCAGAAGTTCGACTATAGTATATCAGCGTGCATGTGTGTGTGTGTGTTGCCCGGGCGTGCGTGCGCGTGCGTTCGTGTGCGGGTGTGCGCCTGTCTGCGGGGGTGCACATGGATGTTTACGCGCGACGTCAGGCAGGTGATGCTTCCCTGAACGTGAGCGGGGCGACACGGCAGGCACTGCTTCCACGGGGCCCGCAAAACTGTCGCAGCACTGTGCGATCGTCTCTCCATGGCCCAGGCAAGCGCCAAGGCAAATGCCCTCATATTTGGAAATGGGCGACACCACTCGGGAATGCGCGTGTCAACACCATTCGGCCATGCGCCACTCGGGAATGGAAAGGCAAGCCAACACCATTCGGGAATGCGCGTGTCCGCCCGCCGCTGGCCAAAGCGTTCAGATCAGACGGGGAAAGGAGAAAGGGGGAGGCGGGAAGGAGAAGAGACGCAGTGCTGCAGAGTCAAGGCGAGGACCCTGCAAAACGGGAGGGCTTTACCCAAACGTGCCAGCGACGAGTGTAGACAAGAACGCGGGTCAGGACGCAGACTCCGGTGAAGAAGGATGTTGCTGATGGTGCCCGATGTACGTGTATCTCAGGCGCTCCTCCGCACAGTCTGTGCAGTCGGTCGACAGACACTCACTTTGAAATGAAACTGCGTGCGTGATCCCGTGGACTTGCAGCCATCGCCAAGACGTGAACGTGCATTACAATCATTCGGGCAGCTGCGGGCTCGTCCCCCAGCAAACGCCGAAGCATCCAGGACCTACGGCTCTAGAAATCACCAACGGGACCCGCTGGGAGTGTCGTCCGTGGCAACGACTGTACACGCTTCAAACACTCATGCATGCATGACTCCGTGGTGGCGCCAGTTCCCCCTGGCACGCACCACAGAAGGCGAGTCAGCTGGCACGCACCCCGAGTAAAGATTGTGCCCCCGCGCGCCCCAGGCACATCGGCCCCGGCTCCGCCGGCTGCGCCAGCCCCGCCGCTCCAGCTCCTTCGTACTCCTTCTCCCTCCCCTCCTTGCTTCCCCTCAGATCCCCCCCCCTCCCCTCGCCCTTTCCTTTCGTCCCCCTCCCATTCCAACCCATCCCTGCACTCCCTTTGAACCCTCTAATCTTCCTCCCTTCCACGCTCCCCCCTTGCCACTTCCAGCCGCCCTCGCCTCCCGTTCACCCCTGTCCCCATGCTTCCTCCCCCAACTCGTCCCTCCCCCCCCTCCTTCACAACTATACAACAATTTCACTATATGGATACTACTCCCCTCTTTCCCCCGGTAGCGCGCTGTGGTTAGTTATTGTCTTCTTTCACGCACAAGTGCGGATCTTCGATGTCTGTTTTTCCATCCGTTGTTTCGGTCGTATCGTTCTCGGCCCTTCCAACATGATGCTTCCGCTGGGGCTGGCCACATTTCAGGATCGGCCATTTGCCCCCCTCGTTCACAATGGCGCTCTTGCCCAAGCGTGGGTGTCACTTCTGCATCCGATGCCTTTCTTTTTAGTTGCCGTGACCCTCGTTTCATAGTCTCTGCTGGTAATATGGTCGTCCTGCTCATCCTCCTTCTGTTCGTGCTCGTGTTCCTTCTCATCCTCTCTCTTTCTTATCCTGCTCTTGCTCGTCCACCTCACCCCCTTCCTCCCCACCTCCTGCCCCATGGGCTCAAAACCTGCAAGTGCACCTTCCCTTCCGGCAATTCGAATACGATTCAGCACGGTGGGAAGGGATGGGTGGGAGAGGTAGGGTGTCAGATGTGGCGCGACAGCGCCTAGCTTGCCTACCGTACCTCTCCCCTCTCATCTTCCACATCTCCTCTCCCTCCCTTTCCCCCCGCCCTCTCCCTCCGCCCCCCGCCCGTTCCGCTTGTGGCGCCACGGCAGTCGCACCAGGCGCTGCCCCCCCCCGCCCGCAAGGGCCACGCTGACTAGGAACCTCATAGATATCCCTGCTGCGCCCTGGTAAGCCTCAGAGCCCTATTCCTGGCGGCCCGACGTCGCTCTCCCCCTTCCCGTCCTCTTTCCCCCTTCCCTTTCCCATCCCCTCTCCGATCCACAACTACACAAGATGAGTGGTGTTTCTCCTCTCTTCCCTCCTCCTGTCCGCTGGTGCCGTAGCCCACGTTTTGCTTTTACCATCCACAGGGCGGGCCACGCTTCACGTTTTGCCCACGGGGCGCTTCTGGATGACATTCCTTGCCGTCCACGCATTTCCCCTCGGCTCCTCTTGCCCATCCTCCTCTTCCTCCTCCTGGAGCAAGATCCTCTAGGACACCCCAATCGGCGGACAGAGAAACGGGAAGGGATGGGTGGGAGGGGCAAGATGTCAGGTGCGGCGCGAGCGACCCCAACTTGATCAACTCCCCTCTCGCTTCGCAGATATTCTCCCCCTCCCTTTCCCCCTCCCCTTTCCCCGCCTCCACCCCCACTCTTCCCTCCACTCCGCTAACCGCCCTCCCCTCCCCCCCCACGTCCCTCGTCCTCCCCCCCACTCCACCGTGTCACCTCCCTTCCATCTCATGCCTCCTCCCGCCTCTCCTCTCCGAGGCAAGACGATGACGGCAGGAAGTGGGAGGGAGAACGGGCAGGATGATGTGGGAACTGGGGCGAGAGATCGGGGAGGAGAAAGTGGGAGGTTGAGGAGGAGGAGGAGGAGGAGGAGGAGGAGGAGGAGGGGAAAGAGCGGGACTCATGCGGCCAGGGAGGTCTGGGATCCTGCTGAAACACGATGCATGAAGCACGGTTGGCCCCTCCCTCGTGGCCAGTTTTGTGAGGATGTCCCGAGCGAGCAATTGCGTTTCCCATGATTCAAATTATGGAAAACACAATTCTGGCCCACTGAGAGCGTTTTCTTAATGGAAATTCCGTTTCACATAATTCAGATTTCCGAGAATTCGAATTTTGAATTATGGGGAACGCAATTGTCCTCCAAAAACCACACCCGATGAGCCACAATTGCGTGTCCCACAATTCGGAATTGTGGGGAACGCAATTCTGGCCCATTGAGTGCGGTGTTTCAAAAGAAAAAAGGTTTCCCATAATTCGGAATTCCGGGAATTCGAATTCTGAACTACGGGAAACACAAGTTTCCTCAAACAACCGCGCCCAATGAGCCACAAGTGCGTGTCCCAAATTTCGGAATTATGGGAAAAGCAAGTCTGGCCCGTTGCGTGCTGCGTTTCAAAATAAATTGCGTTTTCCCAGAATTCGGAAAGCCGAGAATTCGAATTCTGAATTTTGGGAAACGCAATTTTCTTCAAAAAGACCATAGTCAAAGAGCCACACGTGCGTTTCTCATAACCCAGAATTATTGGGAACGCAATCCTGGCCCATAGAGTGCGGCGTTTCAAAAGAAATTGAGTTCCCCATAATTCAAACTTCCGGTAATTAAAATTATGAACAATGGGGAACGCAGTTGTCCTCAAACAACCGCACTCAATGAGCCACAATTGCGTTTCCCATAAATCACAATTATGGGAAACGCAATTCTGGCCCATTGGGTGCGGCAGTTCAAAGGAACATGCGCTTCCCAAAATTCGGAATTCCGAGAGCTCGAGTTCTGAATTATGGGAAACGCAAGTTTCCTCAAACAACCGCACTCAATGAACCACAATTGCGTTTCCCAGAATTCGGAATTACGGGAAATGCAATTCTGGCCCATTGCGTGCTGTTTTTTTTTTTTTCAGAAAAGAAACTGCGTTTCCCCATAAATCGGAACTCCGAGAATTTGAATTCTGAATTATGGGAAACGCAACTTTTTTGGGGAAAAAACCAAATCAATGAGCCACGATTGCGTTTCCCATAATTGCGAATTACGGGAAACGCAATTCTGGCACATTGCGTGCTGCGTTTCAATGGAAACTCCGTTTCCCATAATTTTGAAATTCCGAGAATTCGAATCCTGAAAGAATCAGAAACGCCATTTTTTTCAAAACAAACAAAAAACTCAATGAGGCACAATTGCGTGTCCCATAACTGGCCCACTGGCACGAATTCTGGGAAACGCAATTCCGGCCCACCCGGTGCGTTTTTTCAAAGGACATTGCCTTTTCCCGTAAGTCAGCATTCCGAGAATTCGAATTCTGAGTTCTGGGAAACGCAATTTTCTTCAAAAACCGCACTCAATGAGCCACAATTACGTTTCCCATATTTCGGAATTATGGGAAACGCAATTCTGGCCCATGGCGTGCGGCTTTCAAAGGAAAAAGGGTTTCCCATAATTTGGAATTCCGAGAATTCGAATTCTGAATTTTGGGGAACACAAATTTACCCCCAAGAAAACGCAGTCAATGAGTCACACTTGCGTTTCCCAGAATTCGGAATTATGGGAAACGCAATTCTGGCGGTTGTGTCAAAGGAGATTGCGTTTCCCATAATTCGGAATTCCGAGAAATCGAATTCTGGATTATGGGGAACATAACTTTCTTCCAAAAAAAACTACACTCAATGAGCAACAGTTGCGTTTCCCAGAATTCCGAATTATGTGAAACGCAATGCTGGCCCATTGAAGCCGG